TGGGGGGGGGGGGGAAGAAGAAAAAGAAAAAGAAACACATGATTTATGTAGAGGCGTAGCCTTGCAGCTTCTCAGGTATACACACGGCACAAGGTCTGTAGACATGTCTTTGTGTTTGGATGCTAATGGTTTGCAGGGGTTTTTGGTCAGGGTGAAGTGGTAAGCACGCCGCGGCGCGGATTGTGGATTTAGTGTACGGCTGTGACTTATAGTCAACCACGGTAATTTGGGAGACTTTTTGAGTTTCACAAACACATAAGAGCTAGAAACATCATGGATAACTTTACCGGACTACCTTCAGTAAGAGACCTGCTCATCCGTTGAACGCCACTGCGATGGCAAAGCTCCTTCAGCATGGCGAATCCAGACCGATCTGATCCAACTCCGATCTTTGTGTCTGGATAGGGTGACGCCCAACGGCTGAGGATTGATGCTTCGGGATACGGAACTCATCAATAGCCCGCCAATCAACCAGAGCAGCTCGCTTGCGCTGTGCGATGAAGTCTGCGATGGGAGTTTCGTTCAGCACTGATCACCTTCGATCCAGCCTTGTGAGCGTCCTCATTATTCGATTGGTTTCAATTTCAAATCTGATTGGGCGATCGGACGGACAACATTGCAATCGCAGTGGGGAGGAATCCTGGGCCCAGTGTCCACTTTTCGGGATACGGGGTAATGACCGGGTCAGCCATGGCTAGGTATATTGGGTTTCAAGAGAGGAATTCCGGAGGGATGCTTGTATGTTTTGTCAACCTGTCCATGTATGATTTGTCATGGTCGGTGTACAACACCCATGATCCATCATATGTCACTTGTCATTGTGGCTTAGAATATAAACTCAACAGGGCGGATCAATAGAAGTGTTCGCTGTGGGAAGCATACAATGATACAAGCGTCTGGTCACTCTGATGCGCTCGAGTGAACATGCACCACGCTGATCATGGACGGATATGGTAGGTTTTCCTTCCGCGAGTAAAAACAAAAATTGATTGCACTGGGACCATCTGAGAGTAGACACATGGATGTCCAGGATTCTAGGCTGCACATAGAGTTCAGACTAACCGTCTATGACAGCTGGAGATCGACTCTGTAGTGATAGAGGTTCACGCAACGGTAAGGACTGCAAATCTGTTAGCTCTACTCATCTCCATGGAGCTTGTCCTCATGGGCATCAGGGTCATTCTAGATAGAAGCACAAAGTAAGTACTCACTCGGGTCCGAGAACGAGAGAACGGAGGGGAATTTGGAATTCCCGCTCTGGAGTTTGGAGTCTGTATACATCACACCGGTCGCTTTTCCCAAACCGATACACATAAAAAATAGGATGTGGACCGGATCGGGTTGATCATTATTGAATCCATGGACTAAGTATGGATTTTTGATTGCATCTATTATTAGGGGGGGGAGTGTTGTCGATCTGGGGGAGTAAAGCTTTCTAGAAGGATTCTAGAGTTTCATGAGACAATCCTAGGATATGTAGTCTCTTCTGTGTGCCTCATCCAGCCCCTAGGAGACTGTGAAGAACTTGGGGATCGTCGACAACAGCGATGAACTGTCGATGGGAGGAGGATGAGTAATCGGAATCGAGATCACGCTTGGCCTTGTTTGGACGAGTACGGCAGCTTTACTGTGTTTTGCGTAAAATATATCAACTCACCACCTCTTCGTTGTATGTTACCTGTATTGCTCGTACCTCCAGGCAGAGACGGGGAGAAAGTTTTCGTTCTCAATTCAGTGCTTCAACTCCCAAATATCCCCATTTTCCATCAGAGCAACCCATTTCCCCATCACCTCCCTCATCCGTTCATAGCTATCTCATCCCTTACAGTGTGCGACTCTCATTCTCTGGTTTTGCTCCGAATAATAATAAGCATAACACCACTGTCGACGGACCTTAACCAGTACCTGGGACGAAGGACTCTGAGAACTCCACTGTCCGGTTCCGCTGCATTAGCCCGTCTGCCTAGGGACATTATTGATCTCCCCTTTCCGAGGGCCAAGTGTCGATTTGTCCAAGCCAGCTAGAGAGCGAAAGAGAAAGAGAGAGAGAGAGAATCTATCGACGGATTACGGATACTGAAAAACTCGATCGTGTTTGATGACCGCACTGTTCCACACTCTGGCCCCCTGATTATCATTTGCTCTACCATCGGGTTACTTCCCTCAGGCCAATCACTATCCTCGGCTGGTGCTCTGTGGACTAGAAGGCTCCCGTTCAGACGCTTCATCCCTGGGCTTTCCAACGAGTCAGGGTGTCCGACAGCCAACTGCATCTTCTTTCTCTTTGACTACTAACTTGGACTTAACTATCTGTTGTCCGTGCGGGCGGGATTCGAGTCTTTTTCACTCTTCACCGAGTTCCCCAATACCGAGCGACAAACTTGATACCACCCCAGAACTGCCATAACTAGGAGATTAATTTAGACCACACCGCAGGAGGGAAAAGCGGGAAGTCAAGACCGGCCTGGCGTAACGCTGGAAAGAAAGAAAAACAAGAAGAAAAAAAAGGGAAGAAAAAAAGAGAAACGGGGATTTTTCTCCAGACAATTTGTACCCCCCATACGTCCCCAGTTGGTCGAATAAAAAAGAATGGATCCCAATGCTACCGGCTATCCTGCTCTGCAGCTGCTGCAGGCTCAGCAACAGCAACAGCAGCAGCAGCAGCACAACAACAACAACAACAACAACAACAACAACAACAACAACAACACGGGCTATCCTGTCACCACCCAGGGTCAGCAGTACCCTTTCTATCCGAATGTACTTCCCTCCTCGTTTCCCCAGTCTAAAACGCCATCCCAACAGCAACAGCAACATCAGCAACAACAACAACAACAACTGCAACAGCAACAGCAACAACACCACCATCAGCAGCAGCAGCAGCAGCATTCTTACGGTCCCGTGTCTCTGCAGTCCGGCGGTCCCGGTGGAGCGATGATGCCGTCTGGTTTTCCCCAGCAGTCGTCTGGACCTGGTACGTGGTAATCTCCATGCTTTTTCTAGCCTTTTCCTTTTCTTGTTTCTTTTTCCTTGGCCTGGATGTCAGCGTGTATTCATTGGTCTCGTCGCTTGCTCTAAATCCATTTTTCCCATCTTCCCTTGACCCTTACGCATTAGTTGCTTTGTGGGGGGGTTCTGCTTTCTCTGGAGCTTGTTTGCTCGGGGAGCTTGGACGAGCTAGTTGTCTTGCCTCGCTCGGCTGCATTGGTCTTGTCCTATCTGCGAGATACTTGGTGGTTCACATAGATCATTTGTCTGACATCACTTGGATTTGAATTTCCCCCGCGTTGGCAACCCTGTCTCTCATCATCTATTTTCGTCTTATCGACGCCATGTGCGATTTTAGACTCTTGGACGAGCCACTAACGTGATGTGCAATTTCCCGCTCCTTAGGACCCCACGGTAACTTCCCTGCTGCCTTTACTCAACCTCATATTCCAACCACCCTGGCCCAGTTCATACCATCCCAAGGCACCCCGACGACCTCGAACATGCCGACAACCGCGGCACAGGCTTTCTCTAGGAATATGGCTTCTATCTCTGCGAATAGCATGCTGCCGGGCCAGCAACCACGTCCGGTTCCGCCGGCCAACCAGCTGCCCGGTTCCATCCAGGCAGCAGGCCAGAGTCCGGCGGCGGCGCGAGAGAAGGCTCGTGTCTCGACCCTCTTAGACATCAACTCGATGCTGTTACAAGAAGTTGTCAACCTCCAGGCAGCGGGCAAGGCGGGCGGTCCTCCCGCTCAGCAGGGATCGCAGGAGAACAACCCATCGCCAACATCCGACCAGGCGTCTGATGCGGCCGCTAAGGGGCCCACACAAAAGCCGAGTCCGGAGTACATTGAATGTATGCGTCGGCTGCAGGCTAACCTGGCATATCTAGCGACCATTGCGGATCGCGCGAAGAAATCCGGGGGGGTGGCCCCTGCCGCTCCGGCCATCATGACGCCGCCGCCCAACATGCCCTCAATCAACGAGCTTTACGGCAAGCTGAACGACCTGTTCCGCACGTCCAAGGGCGTTGTTGGTACACCTCAGCCGAGCCCGCAAGGGACTCCGGGCAACGGTAAACCAAGTCCGTCCCCGGCAGCTGAGATGGTAGTCTGAAAGAATTTGGAAAGTTTACTATGTTTCCAACCCGTCACGCAATTAGAACCGCGATCTGCACCTAAAGTGGAAACCCCCGATGCTCCATCCGCTCCCGACAGGGCTACTTGCAGCGCTCTTGATTTCTCTTCCCCGTTCGCCAAGTCAATACCGGTGTAGTCTGGCATCCTTGACAGAGAGCTCGGAGAGGCTCCTCGGTAGCCCGGTGCTAGAACCGGCAAATCAGTAATTGTCAGGCGACCAATGGCGTGTTGGAAGACATTCAATGAAATCGCAACTTGTGACGGGCGCTTCGCTCAGAAGAGTTTCAAGGCACAGGATGATCGGCTATGTGTGGGTATGTCTAGCCTCTCACAGAGAGGCCAACGCTCTCAGCTTTCCTTCTGTCGGTCCTGCGGGCCTGGAAGGCCTTTGAGGCAGTGACGTCGGTGTCTTGGATAGGTTCAGATATGGGGAATCTGACGAGGATAAAGGAATACCTGTTGTGTGCCTGTGAAGGTCTTTGTATAGTAGAACAATATATGTATCATAGAATTGTTTGTCTGAGGTGCTGGTGGCAGAACTAGAATTGCCTGTTTCACATGTAGAGAGACAACGTGAACGCATTGCAAAGCATAACACCCACCACGACACACCACTCGAGAGATCATCCGAACTGACGATCGGCTTCAATTGCAATTGTGTCTCAGGCTCACTCTTCATTCTGGGTCAGAAGACAACTGGGAAGACTGTCGCCCATCACTTGATCTCCTTGCAGCCCCCGTTGCGGAGGGCTCCATGGCCCAATCAGTGGCCTGCGCGGCGGCTGGTCCGCCCTGCAAAAATTGAGAAGCTCTTCTTCATCATATAGCTTGGCCTCCTGCCTGACAACCTCATCCATATCATTACTCACTCCCCCCCACAAAATCTCACCCTCCTTTGCCCTCCGGTTTTCTTATATAACTTCTCTTCCGGTCCTGGCTGAGAGTGTTGGGGGTTGAGGGCCTGTGAATGTCTTGCATCTTGCTCCCTTTGTACAGAAGCAGCCCGTCGGTCGCTATTATCACTACTTCCATCACTGCAGCTTCCGTCTCCGCACCGCTGTATACTTCCATTCGTCCCATTCCTACACGGCCGATTCGTCGATTCTCGAGCATCCCACGGTCGCCGCGCTACTGTGGTTTTAACAGTGAAGCCCTACACAAGCAGCCTCGTTATCCCCTCCCGCGTTGGTCCCGGGGTCCTACGCGAAGTTCAAACGCCGCAACACCCGCCCTCAACAGCTACGTTCAGACGCATACCCGATCGCTTTCCTCCCTTATACCCTTCACTCACTCTCGCGTCTCACTGCGGAACCCCTACTGCTCGGTGAATATGGATATGAGCGGCGAGAGCAGCATAAAGCGCAGGCGCAGCTCGATCGCCGCCTCCGCCGAGCGTCCAGCCAAACACCTCAGACCCGAAAACTCGACCTTGACACCGGGAGACGCCACGCCGGCGAACGGGACCGTCTACGCGGTCGAGGATGAGGGCGACGCGGGCCGCATGATGCCCATTGGTCCCGCGCAGGCGGATTCGCCCGAGTGGCAGGCGACGATCGAGAACGTGGTGAAGAGTGTGGTGTCAATCCATTTCTGTCAGACCTGCTCGTTCGACACGGATATGTCGATGAGTAGCCAGGCTACGGGGTTTGTGGTCGATGCGGAACGGGGCTATATCTTGACGAATCGCCATGTGGTCTGCGCGGGTCCGTTCTGGGGTTACTGTATCTTCGACAATCATGAGGAGGTGAGTGCTGGCGGTTGAAGTGAAGGGTAGATTTTAAGAGACTGTGTGAGGCTGACGTTTGCGTTGTCGATAGTGCGACGTCCGTCCCGTCTATCGAGACCCCGTGCACGACTTTGGAATTCTGAAATTTGATCCAAAAGCTATTCGATACTTGGAGTTGACGGAGCTGAAGCTCCGACCGGAAGCCGCCCGCGTGGGGTCTGAAATTCGAGTCGTGGGTAATGATGCAGGAGAGAAGCTGAGCATTTTGTCTGGTGTCATCAGCCGGCTGGACAGAAATGCGCCGGAATACGGTGACGGTTACTGTGATTTCAACACCAACTACATCCAGGCCGCGGCCGCGGCCAGCGGTGGCAGCTCGGGCAGTCCTGTGGTGAACATCGACGGTCACGCAATTGCCTTGCAGGCCGGTGGTCGCGCGGACGGTGCTGCCACGGATTATTTCCTCCCCCTAGACCGCCCTCTTCGTGCGTTGCAGTGCATTCAACGCGGTGAGCCCGTCACCCGCGGTACCATCCAGACGCAGTGGATTCTGAAGCCCTTTGATGAGTGTCGTCGCTTGGGGCTGACTCCCGATTGGGAGGCCGCGGTCCGTAAAGCGGCGCCTCAGGAGACCAGTATGCTGGTGGCCGAGATCATCCTCCCTGAAGGTCCTGCAGATGGGAAGCTCGAGGAGGGAGATGTGCTGTTGCAGGTCAACGGGGAGCTTCTCACGCAGTTCATCCGACTGGACGACATCCTTGACTCCAGCGTTGGCAAGCCCGTGCGTTTGCTGGTCCAGAGAGGCGGTCAGAATGTGGAGGTGGAGTGTGAGGTTGGCGACCTGCACGCGATCACGCCCGATCGCTTTGTAACAGTCGCCGGTGGTACTTTCCACAATCTGTCGTACCAACAGGCTCGACTCTATGCCATTGCCACCCGGGGCGTGTACATCTGCGAGGCGGCGGGCTCCTTCAAGCTGGAGAATACCTTGTCGGGGTGGATCATCGACTCTGTGGACAAGCGGCCCACTCGTAACCTAGATGAGTTCATCGAAGTGATGAGGGCCATCCCCGATCGCTCGCGGGTGGTCGTCTCGTATCGCCACATTCGAGACCTCCATACGCGAGGTACTGGTATTGTGTACATAGATCGCCACTGGCATCCCAAAATGCGAATGGCGGTGCGTAATGATGGGACGGGTCTGTGGGACTTTTCGGATCTTGCTGATCCCGTCCCAGCTGCTGCTCCCGTTCCGAGAAAGGCTGACTTCATCCATCTCGACGGCGTCAGCCAGGCTGCGGTTTCGGACATCGTCCGCAGCTTTGTCCGGGTCTCGTGCACGATGCCCCTGAAGCTGGACGGCTATCCGCAGGCCAAAAAGACTGGATACGGGCTGGTGGTCGATGCCGAGAAGGGGCTGGTTGTGGTGTCTCGGGCCATCGTTCCTTACGACCTCTGTGACATCAACATCACGGTGGCCGATTCGATCATCGTCACAGCCCAGGTGGTCTTTCTGCATCCGCTGCAGAATTATACCGTCATCCAGTACGATCCCAGTCTTGTACAGGCGCCGGTGCAGAGCGCGAAGCTGAGCACCGAGTACATCAAGCAGGGGCAGGAGACTATCTTCGTAGGGTTCAATCAGAATTTCCGCATCGTGGTCGCCAAGACAACTGTCACGGACATCACGACCGTTTCCATCCCTGCCAACGCCTCTGCTCCTCGGTATCGAGCAATCAACCTGGATGCCGTCACTGTCGATACTGGCCTTAGCGGGCAGTGCACAAACGGTGTATTGATCGGGGAGGATGGAGTCGTGCAGGCATTGTGGTTGAACTACTTGGGAGAGCGCACCCCAAGCTCCCACAAGGATGTGGAATATCATCTCGGATTCGCCACACCGGCGCTCCTCCCTGTGACCACGAAGATCCAGCAGGGGATTATACCGAAGCTGCGGATCCTGAATATGGAGAGCTATGTGGTACAGATGAGCCAGGCGCGCATCATGGGTGTGTCGGAGCAATGGATCCAGAAAGTCGCCCAGGCGAATCCTGCTCGCCATCAGCTGTTCATGGTGCGCAAGGTCGACTGTCCCCCGCCCCAGTACTCGTCCACCGCGGACGCTCTGGAAGAGGGCGATATCATTTTGACGCTCGACGGCAAGCTCATCACCCGCGTGTCCGAGCTGGATACGATGTATGACAAGGAGGTCCTCGACGTGCTCATCGTGCGCAACGGAGAGGAGCTGCACCTCAAGGTGCCAACAATACCGACCGAAGATCTGGAGACAGACCGTGCCGTTGTCTTCTGCGGCGCCGTGCTGCAGAAGCCGCACCATGCTGTCCGCCAGCAGATCTCCAAGCTACACAGCGAGGTCTACGTCAGCGCGAGGGTGAGCCTTCCATATGCCCCTTTCTTTTCTCGCTCTCGTCTAACAAACTAACCCCCCTTCAAGAGCCGCGGCTCCCCGGCCTACCAATACGGCCTCTCGCCGACCAACTTCATCACCGCCGTGAATGGCGTCCCGACACCGAACCTCGACTCTTTCGTGCGAGAGGTCAGCAAGATCCCAGACAACACATACTTCCGCCTGCGCGCGGTCACCTTTGACAACGTTCCATGGGTCGTCACCATGAAAAAGAACGATCACTACGTATGTCCCGGTCTCCCTCTTCATTCTGCCCTTTTTCCCGTTGGAGTACTCACATACTGACCCCCCGCCCACTAGTTCCCCATGTCCGAATACATCAAAGACCCCTCCCAGCCCCTGGGCTGGCTCACCGTCTCCCACGATAGAGACAGACACAAGGACGGCATCACCCCCGACCAAGCCAATCTGAACCCTGACGCCATGGACGAGGCATTCGAGCAGGTCAGTGATGTTGAGCCGGATGTAGAGTAGCTGCGCTGCATAACCCTAGCTAGGCTATAGGTGTGTTTGGGTTTGGGTTTGGGCTGTGGCCGTGGCTGTGGCTATGGCCATTTATGTATGTATGTACAACTTTGTTTCATGTTTCAGGCATCATAGAGTGGGTATAGATTGTTAGGTTTATGGCTGAATTTGTAGACTGCTTAACGTACGTGCGCATGCATAACAACTTCGCAGGGTAACCCTACCCTACTAATTGCCAGCTACTCACACATAGCGATGGAGAGATATATATAACCAGAGTCGGCCACCAGCAACACTATTTGTCACGAGCGCAAAAGCGATTAATTCAGAAATGCCTCGCAGCGGGAATGTGAGTATTGATTATGATGAAGCAAGAAAGAACTTAAAAAAAAATAAGAACAAAAACAAAAACTAAGAGAAAGGTAATGATTGAAGTCAATTGTCAACTAAGAGAGATAACTGATTGTTTTGTAGGGCCTCAAAGCACTAAGAAGTCATGAAGCACTAATTGCCTTAAAAAGATATCAACTAGCATCATTGGTCTAGTGGTAGAATTCGTCGTTGCCATCGACGAGGCCCGTGTTCGATTCACGGATGATGCATTCTTTTTTTTTCTCCTCATCAATGATTTTTTTTGGAGTGGTTTTTTTTTTTTTTTTTTTTTTTTTTGCCTAGGATAGATGTCCATTCTCAATCAGCGTTATAACCGATTAGGTCAATTTCATCATACATTTATTCACTACTCCGAATATGCGATGAATGTAAACCCTGAATGTTGGATGCATTCAATATCAAAATGGGCATTATCACCATGCAGGTACTCCGTACAAATGTAGAATAATATCGATGATTGAAGTAAAACGCCTGACCGACCAATAATCCCCTCCCTGTTCGGCTGTCGCTGCAACCCCAATACAAAAAAACCAGACACAATCCCAAAAGAATAGAGATGCGGCTAAATTCAATTAATAAGCAGATAAAATGCATCATGCTCCAAAGGTCCAACCGCCGTTGAGTCGCAGTCGCTGACGCTCGGCAAGATCCCTGCGGATTTCATCCTGTGTCAGTCCATCAGCACCAGACCAGTTGGCGCTGCTGGTACGCTCGCGGAATTTCTTGATCTTCTTGTCTGCCTTGAAGGTCTCCTCCAACGAGAACGGAGCGACCGGGCCAAAGATCGAGTCGGCCTCCAGGCCTTCCTGATGTCGGAGAATGCTCTCGAGCTCCTTGGGCTGGGCCCACTTGGGAACTGGAAGCATCTCCGCGTCAGAATCCTCATCTTCACTGTCGGTAGCAATTTCAGGAAGATGGATGTTCTCCCCGTTGGGATAGTTAGGGGATGGCTTCGCTGGTGTCTTCTTAGATGAGCTGGCACCGGGAGTTTTCGATGGCTCGGCGAATGGAATCTTGCCGCTCGCATACTTGGCCATATCCATAGGGTGGGCAGGTCGCTGCGGCTGAGCGGTCTTGAAGATCGATGAGCTAGGCTGGTGCGTAGAAGGTTGTGCATGGCTGAAGATGGAAGGCTTCATGGATTCCTAAAGAGCAGAGTTAGTTTCGTCCAGTATACTTAAGAGCAAGCGGAGGCATGTCGTGGATGAGGATAAGCCATACCTTGCGAATGCCCGACTGTCTGATCGGTGGCGCCATCGTGGGCCGGATGGAAGACATAGGGGGGTTGTGCTCATCTTCTGTCTTTCTGCGCTTGGATTCCCCAGATGGCTGAACCGTACTGGACTTCATTGCTGCAGGACGATAACCAGTCTCTTCATCCAGACCCCTCTTTGGTGGCTTGGCCGGATTCGGTTGAGGAGGGTGAATACTCCGATTGAAAGGTTGAATGGAGCCGAGTCTGGACGCCGGCCTGGCGGCTTGCGAAAGTGGTCGTTCGGGTTGAAGGATCGAGGCCTGAAGGCGAAGCGTGTTAGCATGCGTGGCGAGAAATATCTAAAACGTCACTGACCCGCTCCGTAGAAGGCTGCTGACTGCCCTGTCTCTCAAGTCTACGTGCATTTTCTTGCCTGCGCTTCTCAATCGCCTGCATCTGAGCAGCCTTCTTGGGATCCTCCGCAGCGAGTCGCTCCCGGCGCTCGACCTCCGCTCGACTGCGCATCTCTTGCCGACGAGCCTCTTCTTGCTGCTGCGCAGCTCGCTTGCGTTCCATCTCACGTCTCTGCTCTTCCCTACGGCGTGCCTCCCGCTCCTCCTGTTCCCTCTTTCGGTCACTCGCGAGCTGAACCTTGCGCTGCGACTGGCTGGAGATCGAACTCTTAAAGCTGCTGTTGGAAGAAGCAGTGTGCAGGGAAGAGTTGCTCGCCTTTTTCTTGAGAGTGGGAGCTTTCGAGGCCGAGGCGGGTGGGGCGATGGAAGCACTGGGCTCTGGCCCGCTCGAAGCTACCGAAGCCGATGCCAAGGGGATCTGGCGGGACAAAGCGCTGCCCACGCGTATTGACACAGGTTGAGGTTTAGGCTTCTGCAGAAGTTCGCGGGTTGGCTTGATAGGGCGACGGTCAGGTTGCTTTGATTGCTGCTGCGATACAGACATCCGGCTGGGGGCTCGAGACACTGGTTCATGACTAGGTTCCGGCTCCCTCGATTGATGCCTCTGCAGCATGGGTGCCCTTTTCGGGCTGGCGGCGGCGGCAGCGGCAGCGGCAGCGGCGGCCGCCGCCGCCGCCTCACGCTCCTCTTCTTCCAGTCTCGCCCGTTCTTGAGCCACCTTCAGCTGAAGAGCTCTGTGGCGCTCCTCTTCCCGGGCTCTTTCAGCCTCCTCCTCCTCTCGCCTCCGATCCTCGACCTCCTTCTGCCTGCGCTTCTCCTCGCGCTCCGTTGAGCTGCGTGTTCTGCGCACCTCCTGTCGTGGCGGACTGGAAACCCGCACTGGCCGACGGATGGGGCTTTCGCGAGCAGCACTAGAGGTCGGACGATGGTACGAATGTAGTCCCAGTTCATCGGGAGAGGACGCCTCTTGTCTCGCAGCGGCGGCAACACTGCCGGTGTTCGTAAATAGACCTTTCGCCGATCTCATGATGGATTGAAGTTTCGACTTCGAGGCACTTAGAGGTCCATCGTGGCGATCAGCGATGGGAGAGCCCACAGGGGTTGTGGAACCGTAATAGGCTGTGTTGGACACTGATGCGCTCTTTTGATGCCCAAAACGCTGCGGCGAAGAGTATGCAGGCGTCGAGGACTTCTCACGGAGCGACCCTGTCGCACTTTTGGCTCCGGGTCGTGGGGCATCACTATCTTTCCTGACATGAGTTCGTGGGGCAGAACTCCTCTCTCCGCCATAGATGCGACCTGTCTCATTAATCGAGTCTTTCTCCTTGGTGCCGGCAGTGTTAGTTTTGGGCACAGTTGCTTTCAGCGGCGAATCAATCGGCTTGATCCATTCGTCCTCGTCAACTGCCATCGGCTCCGGAGCCGGTTCACGTGGATCTTGATTACGCGTTTCCGCCTTTGTATGGGTTGCTGGGAGCTCGGGATAGGTCACCTGGGCAGTGGTTAAGCCCGGCACAGAGGGGATAGATTTTGTTGTCCGCGAAGGCTGAAGTTTGCCCAGCATACTGATCTTCTCGTGGAGCCTCTGGGTGGAAGACTTGGTATGTGACTTGCTGGCCCTGGTGTCTGCATCTGTCTCTTCTTCCTCTTGCGGATGCACGACCTCCTTGTCCTCATCGGTGTCCATGTTGCCATCGTGTGCTTGGTTTTCGTCCAAGGCTGGAGTTTTATGACCCCCAGTCTGCTGCCCTAAGAAACCGGAACCTCCAGCGTTCAACTTTGCGATATCGATATGGCTCGTGCGGGAGATTCTTGAGCCTCCCAGACTCTTTTTTAACAATGGTTCCCGTGCGGGGAGAGATGCAAAAGATAGACTGCTCTTGCGAATAGGAGGTCGCTCCGGAGTGGAGTTGTCTGAGGGAGAGCCGATGTCATCGATGTTGTCTAGAGGCGTATCATCTTGTTCGTTGTGTTCTTCTTCCACCGTTGGTGCGGGTTGTTCAATTGCCGAAGGTTTCGCAGGTGCCGATCGCGTCTCAGGTTGGGGCTCCGGTTGCGGCTCAGCTTCTTCCTCCGATGCAGGTTCTGGAGGTACAACCACTTCTGGTTCCTTCTCATCTGGTTCGGGCATCGGCGAAGGGGCTTTTTCCTGCTTCGGAGTCGCATTATTGTTGTCTCGCAGCTCGTCTGTCTCTGTAGATCCTACAGGTTCGACCGTTTCTCCACGTAGACGAACGTCTTCATGGGCCGAGTGGAACGAAGCCGCCGTTGTCCGACGGTCAGTGGACTGACGCTGAGGTTGACTTTCGAGTTGACTTTCGATGGGCACGGGCTCATCCCCAAGAGGCTGTGTGGATGTTTGAGTCTCGGTCTGTACCTGAGTCAGGACAACATCGTCATCCTGATCCTCTTCTTCATCTTCCGGCATGCCATGGTACCCCGAGTCCGTGTTGTATTGGGGGAATGAATTGAGATTCTGTGCCAGGTCAGGGTAATGGGGGCGCGACGCATTCTCGACAGTATTTTCGACAGTATCCTCGGCTGTCTGCTCGATTGTTTTCTGGGTCGGATCCCTGGCTTTTACTGGAGAGGCTTTTGCCTCCAACGGAGAAGGCGCATTCAGAACCGCGGTCGGCTTGATGGGCGAACGGGCGGGGCTGGTGTTGCGACTGCGGTCTTCTAGATTATGCGCCGAAGTGAAGATTTCGCTCAAAGGCTAGGAGCGGTCAGCAATGCAAGAGGAACCCAAGAATGGACAAGACGACTCGACGCACAATTCTGTTTTCGTTTATATTCCGCTTCCGCGCTGTTCGCGGCGTCTTACCTCGAAGCTTTCCGGGGGTCTTGAATACTTCTGTAAGATTGCTGCGTGCCAGTCAGCAAGGGTGGGCTTGGAATTGAGACGGATGGCCACCACGCACAGTTGACCGCTGGAGAACACTTCTGCCATGTGCTCGTTCAACCAATCCATTTCATGGCGCACAGGATACTCAATCTCCTCCATCTCCTGATCGACAAGCTGCATAAAGTTCTCTTTCTCGGTCGAAATCCATGCCGCAGAGCCCACAGGCTTCTGGGCCCTCGCTCCAGCTGGGGCCATGGCGATGTAAACAAACACGATACAGAGGAGTTCTGGGGTGGACGTGCGCCAAGTCGCGTTAGATCAAAATAAGGGCAAATATGCCCCGTCTCAGTTAACCAATCTCGGACGATACAATCATTGAATCAGGGGGGTGTGGTTGGCGAGGGTGATGGAAAGCTCGATGGACTGCGGTCGCTCGTTGTCGGCGGAAGTCGAGCATCAAAACATTCGCCGACGCGTGAGTCCCGCCGAGTCACGTGAGCATTTACATCATGCGAGGTGCCTGATTTCTCCGGCAACAATATCGATCCATATCCACGGGGCTTTGCTAAGAACGGCGAAGACAAAGCGCAGTCGTAGGATTCCGGAAGGTGGTCTACGGATTTTCGATATTTCATATTTCTATAATCTATATAGATAACCAGGACCCTCGAGACCTGGGATTATTGATGCCCAGTCTCTGCTCCAGATTACGGCGCCCCGCACTCATCTGGTCCCTTGCTTATACAGCTGGCTTCGGTGAACATTTCGAATCTCGGATATTATAGGTTGACAGGGACAGAGATGAATGGGAGTTGTCATCAGATCTATCCGAGAGCTCAAAGACAGGTCTGTTATCCTAGGGAGAGTAGCCTTCCACGGAACATATCTGGTTGTCGTGTGTGACTGGTGTCACATAGGTCTCGCCAAACACTGGGATAGACAACTGATAGACAATGTTAGAGAACCGTAGACAAGACATGAGGAGCTGATGATTCAGAGCCTCTGAGGTCATGCATGGATTGGATTCAGTGTCCTTCTATCCCTCGCGCCGGGGAAGGGAAGAACAAAGAGTGTGTGTGCTTCCACCACGACAGGTCGTTGTTGTAGTTGTTGAACTCTATATCTTAAATTTAAATGTTCCGCCTGAGCCTCTGAGGACTGTGTATGTCTAGAACATTCAGCATTGTAACATTGGGTGTGCCAAGTTTTGCAGAGTTGTGAACTTGTGGCGACGGGAAGAAGCCCCTATGATGTTGATACTGCGTCGATAGTTTGTAGACTAACCAACTATCACATGCCGACAAAACCGACATGCCAGAAATAGGAGGAATTTCAAACGCTAGGAGAAGGAGATTTGACGTGAATAAGGATCAAGATAGCCAATGACACACAACCTGTACAACAAGATTAATTCGAGGATCAAGTGAAAGACCAAAAGACAGACAGACGAACCCCTGGCGCCTGGTTGAAAGTAGATAGAGAGAGCAGTGAGCACACGACAATCCCAAGGGAGCCAGCCAGAACCTGCCTGGGGCCTTCTCTCGCTTGACAATTGCATCACCACCAAAACAGAGCACAACCCGCTCCTTATCTTTTCTTCGGCGTCCCCCCCCCCCGAAAGTCATCATCCATCCTTTCTCTTTCTCTTCTTTCTTTTTTTCTCCCTCAGTCATAACGATCTCTCGGTCTCTCATCTACCTCAAACTCTTTCTTAATTCTATAATAGTCTTCTTGAAGACCTTTTGACAGCCTCATTCGGCCAGATACCCGTCTCAGATCTCCTCTAGCAAAGTTCCCGAGCTTTCCACACACAAACTTTCGCCATGGCCGCAGCTCACAGCGCCGGTGACGTGAGCTATCCCAACACTAACGGGAGTAGTAAGGTATGTTGCTGGGAACGGAACAGAGCAGAAAAAAGCTATCCTTGATATCTAAATGTCTGAATTGAAGAGAGAATGAGAACTGACCGAGAGGACTACTGCTATCTAGTTGAACCATTCTCCTTTCCCTGGGATACACTCCCGTGGCTTTACACATAAAACTGACAGTTGAGAATCAGGCCTCACAGATGCCGTGACAAAAGGTGAATACCAGTCGTTCGCCTTGATAGATATAATAAATCTAATATCATTGCTCTTCTAGGTCCCGTCATCGACAACATCAAAGCCGAGGCCTCTCGGACCAGCGACGAATTGCGCGATCTGAGATACTCGAGTGTCTCACCCTCGACAACCACGGCGACCGGCCAGCCCCTGACCTGTATGTGGCACCACCCGATTGGCAGCGGATTCGACATTCGACAAGGATGAGGCTAACCTATTTTCATAAGACTACCATTCCTTGCTCTATAGGCTCCTGAGCGTGAGTGATGGCTTTCCAAATACCATAACTCGGTAGAACTCGACCGGTTTTCTGACTGACAGTAGTGGGAGCAACCCCGAGCCACTGCCGTCTCGTTCGCAAGCGTTGTCACTTTTATTTTCGCCGCCCGTTATCTTCCTCTGCTTCGCTGGTTCTTCAAGTTTGTCTATCTGGCTTTGGGATGTGAGTGGAGACTGTCATGCGCGGAAAAGGAATACAATGCTCATCAAGGATATTTTATAGTCACCGCCGCTGCTGAACTCGGTGGCAGACTGGTGCTGTCGCAAGGCCTCGCCAGCTCCTTCCGCCCTCGCAAATACTACACAGTCCCCAAGGAAACCGTTGAAGCGGTTCTGGAGGACCTCGAACAGCTCACCGACTTCCTTCTTCTTGAGTTCCAGCGCATTCTGTTCGCCGAGAATGTGGTTCACACTGTTGCTGTATGTCCTGGGTTGTCGGACCCATCTTCCGAACTGTGACGGCTAACTCGAATTACAGGCATTCTTTGCTGCCTTTACTGCATACTGGTTGATCAAGTTCCTCCCATTCTGGGGACTGTCGCTCATTGCTGTTACTATTGCCTACCTCGGCCCCCTCGTCTACCTCAGCAACCGCGAAGTTATTGATGCTCACATTGAGAACGCTCAGGGCGTCATTAACTCCCAGGCTCACCAGCTGAAGGATATTGCTGAAGAGCGCACTTCCCACGCCACCGGCCTTGTGAAGCAGTACGTGGAAGACTACAGCTCCAAGGCACAGGAATACATCGGCCACCGTCGTAGTGTTTCGCGCGAGCTGTCGAAGACCGCCGGCCCCGTTGTGAAGAAGGACCCCGCTGCCGAGGCTATTGTGCAAAAGGACTTCACCGCCGAGCCTCTGATCAAGACCGAACCCGCCACTGAACCTGTTATCAAAACTTCCGACTTCCCCGAGACTCCCAGCGAAGAGCCCGTGGCCCCTCCTGTGGAGCACAACCGACAGCCTTTGGAGACCCGGGAGCCTCTCTTGGCTGCTTAATTGCATTCTCCACTTCAATTGTTCAGCATCTTTCCAAACTTGATTCGCGAAGACTCGGGCTTGGATGGTATTGAAATGGTGAACGGTGCAAGATGGCCAGAGCGTTTATCTTTCTCGTGGATTGTTTGGGTAGAAATGGGTTGGGACTGTACATTGTGAATCGGGACGGACGGTTTGGCGCGCGTGACGATAAGATGGTATGATATTTCAAAGGGTTTTCATTTCGCTCTTCTCTGTGGCCAGGGCCTTCTTCCAAGTGAGTTTCTTTTCCGTACGGGAAGGGATTCATGTTGATTTTCTTAAAAGCTTCGCGCTTGGTCTTTGTATTTCGTAATATGCACTCATATAATTTATGGTTCTTCTCTTATCTTCCAGTCCTTTAATGGCACTAAGTTCCTCGTGACGGAATATGATCTTCGAGTTCATCACAGCCTCAACCCATGCAAGCCACGCATGGCATGAGACTCTGCCTTATGCAACTGATAAACGCCCTTCACCCTCTGGTCCTTTACCCATGTACTTTGAACAACGAGGCCCCCACAGGAAAGCATCGCAGCCAGCCACCCGCAGCCTTTGCTCCACCGACAAATCCACATCCGGATTCGAACCGGCTCTCATCGTCAAAGCCACAGCAGCAGGTGTCCCCTCGATCTGAACACAACATAACCCCGTACGTAAGGGTAAGCGAGAGAGATACGGGGCGTTACCCCCTTCCTCTTCCCCCTTCCCTTCTACCCCAGATTGCGAGACGTCGCACAGGCGTGTGCCGAGATGTTTTATGATGCCGCTGGCGGCAGGGATGATCCCGTCACAGAAAGTCTAACCGGGGCACACCCGGTAACGGGCGTGCGTTTTGAATGTCATGGATGTATGTATGTATGTATGTATGTATGTTGATGTACATGTACAATACGCATTGTTTTGACATTGCAGTCAAAGGGGGGCTTGTCTTGTCCCCTGGGTTGGAAGACATGGGATGTGTCCCTGTTTCTCATATGGGGTTTGAAGAACTGCTTAGAAAGATCTGACTGACTGGATTCTTGTTCTCCCATGAATTCTGAATCTGGGCTACACGCCGTGTTATGCACACGGCTCGGTAGGCTGGTAGGTACGAGCCTTGCGCTGATTGAAGAAAAATTTGCGTATGAGAGAGCATTTGAATCAGACCATTCTCAGAGTACACGCGACTAGCACAGTACGGGACTCCTTTCTCTTAAAACATGCCCCGAACTTCCCATCTAAACACAACGCCAGTCAGACCAATGCACAATGCAATCTTACCCAGTATGCTAGAGGTCCAACCGTATCCAGGATGACGGTGGCAGGGATCATGATGGGAATGCGGACTATGCGGTCGTTGATGTGTGTATGCAGGAGCGACAATAGTCGTTGGAAGCGGGCTCATCAGGACAAAGCCTGAGATGGAGATGACTGCCAGCCACTTTCGGCGAGCAGCCGAATTCTTCGGTTTTTCTGGATCGTCAGGTCCCGTCCCAGGTGACCTCCAAATTGGCAATACTTGATCGATGTGATTCCTGTCACTGGCGCACTTACACGTCCACCGTGGGCGGTGCTTCCCGTCATACAATCCCCATCTTCGAGGTTCTTTTCCTCGTGGCCCATTGCTGGTTTGTTTGTAGTACTAGCGAGTTCGTTGTCGGACACTTTTGAGACATTTGGCAGCGCAGAGCAAAGATGAGGACGGGGACAAGCACTGGTTCAGGAAGATAGTGTACTACGGAATGGCTCATCCTGCGAGAAATTTTGAAGACGTAGCCGGGTGCTCAGGCATAGGAATTCGACGCAGGACGGAATTCAAAATGGCCTGGTGAGGCCATTCAGAGCTGGATGTCCGATATTGAATTCTGGGTATCCATATTCAACTCCGATGGAGTTTGATATCGACATCTAGCTCCGCATGGCCACAAATTCTTACTCTAGGAGACCCATATTTCTTCTTGTAAGGTACCTTTGCGGATTGAATGAGGCCTATGACTTAGGGATGTGGAAAAGAATTCCTCCTTTTTTCCTAATATCTAGCAGTACTAAGATAAATATAGGGTTCAATCTATAGGATAATAATAAGTTCATCTTGATTAATTCACTAAAAGGCTTAGCTAGACTAGCCCTAATCTTTAATAAAAGAACGCCAGACCCCAGCGTGCTAGGTGCTGGGGGTACAGGGTTGCCTAAGGTGCGTAAAGTGAGTCTAAATAGTGTCTTCTTAATACTATCAATATCAATATTGAACCTATACATAAAATACGCTTACTGGCTTCCTAGGCGACTGTATACGCCGCTGGCTCTCTATATAGTCTGCCGGATCACGTGACCAACTGATCGGACCGCCATATGTTGACTGACTGCAGCACATCACCTTGTTGTCTCCTTTACACAAGGAATGATCGTATCGTTTTTGATCTAGCTAACTTGCACTGCCCAGATTAAAGCTATGTTATTTAGCCGGCTATAGAGAAACGAAGCAAAGATTCTCTCGTCGCGAAATTCGAACCGCACTGGAAGCTTTCTTGTACAGAGCTCTATGACTCTCACCCAGAATATATGGCCTTCTGGCTTGGGGATTCGGTATAACGCCTCGAAGTTTGGTCTCAACTAGACGCATGGAAAGCTTTATTCCTGCGAGCCGTGTCGAATATCTAAGATCCGCTGTGACCACAAAAGTCCTGTCTGCAACAGATGTGTTGCTCGTCAGAAGGAGAGTAGCTGCGTCTACCACCCTGCTCCGATGACAAGACCGCGCGAGCTACGACGAAGTCAATGGATCTCAACACATAGCTCCTCCACTACGATACGCCATGACGATAACTTACATGGACCAAAAAGTACAACTGCTTATTGCATCAAAAGCTTATGGATGCAACGCGGTGGCCGCGGGAACCTTTATACAGGATCTCAAGGTCCCTGTTGAATACAATCTGCGGGTGGTCTTACTCTCTGATCAGGTCTTCAACATGCAGCGAGGCATATCCTGGTCTGTAAGTGCCCAGTCTCTCTCCTACGATTCTATTTGATTCGAGACTAAGCTTTCTGAAGATGCTCTACCATAGGTTACCAGGTGCTAGTGTTCTGGCAGTCGACTTACTAGAGAACATGTATCGCGCATCCAACACCATTGACTCGCAGATTGACGTGATCCCGCGCGCTGAGGTTATACAAAACCTCGCTATCTTCATCTCAAATCTCCAAAAAATCATCAATCGCCGAGAAGTCAACCAAGAAGCTTGTAAATGGGCACATGAGATCTTGTCCGGTATCCTGGGCGAGGTAATTGACCCCCAAAGTCGCGAAGCAATATCGACAGACACGGTACAAAGTCGAATTGCCGCCAGCATACCGTTCTCGGATACTTTTGGACTCGATAATGACCTTGTCACTTTCGATGACCCTCTTCGATCGGATTGGAAGTGGGGATCTAACCCTTGATACCTCGGTCATCGTGCTGTAGTTAAGCGTTTGGAAGAAGCATATTACTCCAGAAGACGCTGTTGTGGCAGCTTATAGGGCCGGAGAGACGTTTTCTAACTAAAAGGATACCCTGGGATTCCTCTTTCTGCTATGTATTATGACTCGTCCTTGTTTCTTTCCTTTGTGTTTCGGGATAAATTAGTGAAGTGGGCGGACCAGAGTTCTGCTGCATTGGTAGCAATTATGTCTTTTCTGCCTCCGAACCCTGCGGCTTGGGGCGAACATCTGGTCTCTAGATTCTCCCAAATGTCTCATCCGAGGTTATGGTATTAGCCATGACTAGAGAAGACTGCTTGAACATCATGCCAGCGCTCAGTTTGCACCTGAACTGCACAGCCAGGGTTATTCTTGACTGGTATCAGAATGAGGCTGAAAGCCATTCATTCTCTAGCAGTTGAGCACCTGTCGTCTTTCAATGCTAGTTGCCGTTTTAAGGGAAATCACTGATGACGCCCAATAAACAGATTTGTCGGAAGAGTGAATAGAGAGACAGGCTGAACAAAGGTAACAAGACCAGAATGGACAAATCAAGCGGACCCTTCGGACCCTTCAAAAGACAAGAAAGACATGGAGAGAGATGACTACTACTCCACAAAATCCGTGGGGCTACTGCAGAGAAGGCTGCATGGAAAGTTCTTTGAAGCTATCAGCCACCTACACATCAGCGGACTCTGCATAAGGTGTGCGTTTCTAAGGATCTCACTGTTCCAGTCAGAGCAGACCTTTGCCATAGCAGGCGGTCTGTCGGAATTGGACCGTCCAGCCAACCAGCGGGTGTCACTCTCACTGCCAGGGTTCAAAAAGGGAGCCTTGGTCTCCAGGAAATCCTAAAACCGATGTGCCCCATGGCGTTGTGATGTCGCCTGACGGGGAGAAGCAGGGGAGAGGAAATAGGCATGAGTCCATATCAGTTGGAAGCTCTGTAGGTGTAACAACCGTTGGTGATATACCTGACACCCTTGTTCTTTCTTTTGTCCGAAGAATAGCCTTTTGGGCTCATCTACATTTGGACAATTGTTTTATTTTTATTGATTTTCATTTTTTTTTCTTCTTTCTGTTCCTTGATGAAATTGGCCCCCTATGTCTGACAAGTATTCATCGCCCTCTGATCTCTTCCTAAGAGCTCGACTTGACTCATGGCAAGCTCTCTGCTTACGAACAATTTCCGGGTCTCACCTGGTTCAAGTGGCTGAATGAGTGGAGACTCCTTGGTTGGGAGCAAAAGCAGCTTCCCGTCGTACAGGAAGAAAGTGTCATGCAGCTATCCGCAGTCTCGGACCTCTCTAATGTCCGCCTCGTCGCGCCATCGCCGTTGAGGCCGTTCGTTTATTGGCTCTATTCCATGAAGGAGGTCTAATCTTCCGGATGATCTAGCGGTTGTTTCCATCTTATGAGGTCGAGGTCATCGACATGGGTCCATCGACATCAAGCCGCGAACCTGAAAGGTGGGAACAAAGATGACATCCTAACTACCAGGCGGGTATGGGGCAACCAAAGATAGCCAACACTCTGAGAAGAGCAGAGTCACAGTGTTGTATTCTGCGGTACAAATTTTCTGTCGATACCCTTCGTCGTTTTCCTGGCCATCTAGACTAATTTGGGTCTACGCTCGTCAGACCGCTGTCTCCATCTGTTTGCATGGGTGGGGGGGAAGTCTGGAGCTGGAGCAATAGACATGGTCTCAATTACTGTTCAGCTATGCAAGACCTCCACATGGTGGCAGGTGTTCCTGAAACGCGATCTACCATGTCTCTTCATTGAGTCTGCGTCATCTCTTGGGCTTGGGTAGCTGCAGGTCGGGAGTGGAACAAGTGAAGCCCTCGAGAGATTGGGGGGCATGGCGTTACTTTCAATCAAGGGTAGTAGGAAATACAGGCTCGACCGGGCAATTGAAGGAGGAGTAAGAGGGAGGAGAAGACGCGGGGAGGGAGGGGAGCAACCCTTCCTGTCGTTATCGAGCTGGCGCTAATTGAGGGTCCGATGCAACTGGACCGTTGCCTGGTTATACCCTGGGGAGTACCTGCTATACTCAAAGGGTGCGTGAGGTAGGGCAAATCTGGACTCGCCATCGCAGCCTGGCCAATCTGAACGTGTACCTCGTGATGAACCCTGGGCACCAAGTACCGGTGAGGTTGTTCCCCCTCCCCCATGCCGAAGGCTTCCACCTCCCATCCAAGACATCCGCTCAACGCAGACGTCTAGATCCGGAGTCCAGTCGTAGCTCTGGGTTCACCGCTGCCCCCGTTATGGCACATTGCCTCGAAGAAAGATTGCACACTGAGGTGGCTTTTCTCACCGTGGGAATACGGACAAACAGAATAGAGCCATCTGAGCTCCTTCCATCAGATGCCGTCAATTGTATCCACACCCGGAAAAGAACCCAGTGCAGAACAAACCTCCTGACAAAGACGAGAGGCGCGTTGCTCATTTGTCTCGTTTTTGGCAGAGCCCCGGATTCCATTATTTTTTTCTTGATTTTGACTCTTCTTTTATTTTGATTTGGTTTCTCTGGGCTAGTCTGGTGATCGCCTAAAAGGCGATACCGGCCACCACCAGATCTCTGGGGGGCCCCCTTGGGTATCCGTCTCTGCATATTAATTCTTCTTTTTTTTGTTTTCATTGTCTCTCTTATGGCCTTTGATACTGTTACAAGACCTTCTAGAATCCTTTTCCTGCTCTCTGTCTTAGGGGTCAAACAGAGAGGATTGTTTTTAGCCTCATCGCCTGTGCTGTTCCCTCAAGTCAGATAAATCCTCTATCAGTCTTGTCCCCTTTTGTTGCCTTCTTCTGTCTCTCTTGGTCACTAGTTCAACCGAGAAGGAGGGACTTTTGTTTGCTTTCCCTCTCTAGAAGGAACTTGCCCAAAGAGAGAAAGAGAGGGGAATTGTTCGTGAATTATCAGATCTCGACGACTAGTCTTCGAGCGTTGTCGAAAATGGCGTCAATAGAGTCCTTGTTGAACCCCCTGCCTGATCCAGGCCGATATCCTTCATCTCTGACAAGCTCTCCGGTCACCATGCTTTCCAGGGTTCCCCGTCAGAAGCGGCAGAAGGTCGCCAAAGATGCCCCGATATTCACCAGAGGCAAGATCAGGGGCGAGCTTCGCTATCCGCCCTGCGAAGAGCAAGGCGAAGAGCTAGCTCAGGTGCACCGCGAATTTCAGATCCATCCTATGGGTCATATTGCCGAGTTCCCACGACATATTCCATACAACAGCGACAAGAAGTCATTCCAGGAAAGAACCGGACGAGAGAGTTTCGAAGGTATGTAGTCAACCACGACCCCGAGCTTTACATGCATTACATTGGGGCTGAAATTCTTGTCAAGTCTTCCAGTACACATTCAAACTCCCTGGCGAAGAGAAGGAATGGACAGTGATGTGGGACTACAATATCGGCCTCGTGCGGACGACGCATCTCTTCAAATGCAATGACTACTCCAAGGTACACTACACACAGTGAGCTGCACGTCCGTGACTGACGAGATATCAAGACGACGCCAGCCAAGATGCTGAATCTCAACCCCGGCCTACGTGAAATCTGCCACAGCATCACTGGAGGTGCACTTGCCGCGCAAGGTGAGCCAAAAGCACACCGTCGTCACCCATATAGCCTAACCCCCTTGCTGACGCAGAGACCACCAATAAATAGGCTACTGGATGCCGTTCGAGGCCGCCAAGGCCGTGGCAGCGACATTCTGCTGGAAGATCCGCTACGCTCTCACACCCCTCTTCGGACTGGAATTCCCCTCGATGTGCATCCCGCCGCACGACCGCGGCCGCTACGGCCGCATGGTCATTGATCCCACCATCGTGCAAAAGGCCACCGACACCGCAAACTACTACCGCATGCTCGAGCTCCAGTCCCCCTCCTTCTCCTCCCTGCGGACAGGATACCGCCCCACGTCCGCCGAAAGTTCGTCCTCCTTCGCCAAACGGCTCATCCCAAGAAGCCAGCAGCACCGCTACGCAGACAGCCTCAGCGGCTACGGGTCGTCGCCTGAATACCACACGGACGGGTACTGCGTCTCCCCCGTCAGCCCGTTTCAGAACACATTCACCCCCGTCAACACGCCGCGGAGCTCCGACAGTATGTCCGTGTCCGTGTCCGTGTCCGTGTCCTCGCCGCGGCACGGGGACGCGCCCGCGCCCAGCCCGCGGGAGCCCGCCGCCAGCGAGGACGACAGCGGCTCGGACGAGACGCGGTCCTCGACCGTGTATACCGAGAGCACGTGTACGGCCAGCGAGATCCTCTCCGTGGATCTCGAGGGCGGCGATGACGACGAGTACTGCGACAAGGACGAGCGGGCCTCGCCCCCGCCGTCCGACTCCGACCAGAAGATGGAGACGCGCCCCCGACGGAAACCCAGCTCCGCGCTGTTCGCGAAGGAAGTCAAGGCCGCGCATGCGCTGCTGAGCCTGCACATGCAGGAAGCGACAGGGAGCGATGGGGAGGATGGGCCTTTGCTGGTAGGTGTAGGCGTAGGCATAGGCGTAGGCGTGGGCATCGGTGGCTTAAACCACGGCAAGAAGCGCCGCAGGGCATCAGCTTGATCAAGCTTGATGAGAACAGGACCGATATCAAGCTGGTGATTTGACGAGTGATGATGACGGGGGGCTTGGGTTTTGGGTCTTGGGTTGGGATTAGAAGGAACGGAGTCTTTGGTGTTTGTATGCATGTCTCTCTTTTCTCTCTTTTCTCTCTCTCTCTCTCTCTCTCTCTCTCTCTCTCTCTCTCTCTCTTTTTTCTTTTTTCTTTTCTGGGTTTGTTTCCGTCGCCAGGGCTTAAGGGTCAAGGCTTAAGGGTTATGTATTATGGTCATAGTCATGGTTATAGTTCTGCACGGGGGACGCAACATGCAACATGCAACATGCAACATCCACAATCTCAAATTGAACAACGCTTCACTTCCTACCATCTTTCATCTATCCATGCGTTATCCATCATATCTATCCAGCAACATCAGTGCAATAAAAGTTACTATATGCCTTGGTGACAAGCATCAGCGTTCCGACTTGGCGACTAGCCTATCTGTAGTAAGTAAGTAAGTCCTATCTGAGGGGAAGGGGAATAAGAGGACGATCCGATTCTCCATCTGCCGATTTTGGGCACTGGATCCCAGTCTGCTCCTCTGCGAGGCCGGCTGATATGATATGCCGGCCTTGAAGAACCAGGAGGATGGGTTCTCTCACTGCTATGAGTTGTGAGTCTCGATAAAGTCAAGGTTACTGCTCCTACCAAATGGACTCTATGCTGCCATGACATTGCTAGAAGAGAGAAAGTCCTCGACTGTTTTGCATGCTTAATGCCAATTGATGCTATTGACTACATACATCTCAAGTAAAGTAAAAATAAGTGCATACGAAGGAAGGAGATGAAATGAGTGCATCATAAGAAGTCCAATTAAAGCATTCAATCAAATGAGAAGAAAGAAGAAAGAAAAGAAGCATCCAGACGATCAACGTCGATGGATATCACCCACCCCCCCCTAGTCACTCTCGTCAAAGTCATCGCCCGAATCGCCATCCTCGCTGTCATCCTCAATCACGTACGTCTTCTTGGTTGTAGTCCGACGAGCTGGCCGTGCGGCAGCCTTCCGCTTGGGTGGCTCGTCTTCCTCCGACACGTCCATCTTGCCCACGGGCGAGTCGAGGATGTCGTTGGCCATCGCATCGATGTCGTCGTCGGACAGATCGTCAACGAGCTGCTTCTTCTTGGTGGCTGTCGCTTTGGCCTGCTTGGACGCATACGCCTTGGCCGCAGGGGACAAGGTGGTCTGCTTCAGGCTAGAAGCGGCAGCAGCTGGCTTGGCCGCATCCTTCTTTGGACGGCCACGGGGTTTGGGCGCGGCGGCAGCCTTCGAGGCGGCAGCGGTGGTCGCCGACTTGGCTTTGGTTGCCGGTTTGGCTTTGGCCGCTGGCTTAGCCTTGGCCGCGGGTTTGACGGGCTCGTCATCCTCATCTTCAACCTCGTCTTCCAGGTCGTTATCATCGGAGGTCTTGACCTCCTTGGACTTTACCTGTAGCGATCGACGGGGTGAATTCTGCGGAATCAACTTGCTGTAGTCCGTTTCGTCTGCATCGAAATCGGTGGACAACTTGGACAACCGGGAGCTGCTCGCCTTCAGAGCAGAGGAGCCGCTGCCCGGCCGCGACCGCTCAGAGAAGAGCTGGCGTGAGTCAGAGGTGGTATCACCAGCGGTGCCCCCGATACCCTTGACCATCATGCTAACGTCGCCGAGCAGATCGTCGCCGTTATCGCTGTCCGAGTCATCCGAGACTGTGTACTTCGTGGCAGGTTTGCGGCTGGCCCGAGCGGGCTGGGACTTGGCTGACTTGGCCGCCTCGGCTTTGGCAATCTCCATGAAGTCATCATCATCATCATCCAGGTCATCCTCGTCCTCGTCCTTAGGCTTGGCCTTTGGCTTGGCCGCAGCCCTGCCCTTCTTGGGAACGATCTCGACATCAGAACCCTCTTCGTCCTCGTCCTTAGGTTGAGGTGACGGTTTAGCTGGCGCTCGACTCTTCTTCGGGAGAACCTCGATGTCCATTTCGTCATCCTCATCCTTGACCTTGGGAGCTGCCTTGGCCGCCCCTCTACTCTTTTTAGGCAGCACTTCGACCTCGAAATCGTCATCTGAGCCGTCCCCGTCACCGGAGGGGGCCGCAGCTGGCTTGGCCGATGGCTTGCCCAAGATACTGAGCAGGCCGCCTTTGGGCTCCGACTTCTTCGCAGCTGTAGTTTTCTTCGACTTGGGTGCCGCAAAGTCCTCGTCATCCGGGTCGTCGCCGAGTGCTGCCTTGCGCTTCTTTGCGGGCCCGCGTCCGCCCGCGGTCATGAGCTTCGCCGATCGACGACGGTCCATATTGGCGACCTTTCGCTCCCGGCGGGCCTCATCTTCGAGCTGGAATCGCCATTCATTGATGAACACATCAAGGTCATGCTTCCAGATGTCTTCCTTGGAGAGTTTGATCAAGGCGTCGATCTCAACCTCTCTCTCGCCAATTTGGCGGCGCAGCTTCTCCACGCGCTCCTGTGTCAGAGACCACAAAGACATGCCCAGCAGGTAGTCGTAAGCATTCGACTGAACCTCGGTATCTTCGGCTTCCTCCGACTCCTCCCCTTCCTCAACAACCGGCTCGTCCTCGCCCGCCTTGACGGCGTCAGCGACCTTAGGGATAGCCTTGAATCCCTTCTCCTTCAGCTCAGCGATGAGCACGGGCTTCTTCTTCTTGGAGATGACCAAAGCACCGTCAATGATCATCTGTACAAACCGAGCTTGGTTGCTCAGTTTGTCCAACTCCCTCTGAAGCTCGCTGAGTTGATATTGCTACAGAGGATTTTCGCGGTTAGTGACATGTTCATGAACAAAGGGCACATGAAAATTTTTGGCGACGGGTGTACGTACCTTACGACGCTCGTAGAACTTGAGACGGACGGTGAAGAATTCCTTCAGGATATCGTCCACGCTGGCGTACTTGGTGATTCGACCCTCGGGATCAAAGGCGACCAAATTCGTGGTCGCAATTGTCTTGGACAGCTTGAACTTCTCTTCCAACCCTTCTGATAAGGCAGACTGCATGTGCTTCTCGTCCATCTGGATCACAAAGCGGACCTTGGTGTGGGTGTTGTAATCCTTGTAATCCTTGATGAAGGATGGCGTCTTATCAGCCTTGATGATCTCCTCAAGCTTATCCTTGAAATCCTGAGTCCAGGTTCGGATGGGCAGTTCGGTGATTTCCACCTCCTTGTCTCCTGCTTCCTTGATAATACCACTGAATTTGAAGCGATCGCCACCGATGGCGGTGACTTCACCATTGAAACCGCGAAACCATGGCTGCATGGGCTTGATCGGCTCTCCATCCATTAGTCGCTTCAGATTATCCACAATGTCCTCGGGGTTGTAGTTGGGAATAGAGGAACTCCATCCAGTACCGATACCATCCGCGCCATTGATCAGGAGCAAGGGGACAACGGGAACGTAGTTCTCTGGCTCGATCTGCTTACCATCATCCACATTGTAAGTGAGGAGCGGCTCGTCCGCAGGGTGGAACATCCGCCGCGCAAATGGCGACAACCGAGTGTAGATATAACGAGCGCTCGCGCAATCTTGACCACCTTGAAGACGACTTCCGAAATTACCACTGGGCTCGAGGCAGTTGACATTGTTGGATCCGACAAATGTCTGCGCGAGACCGACGATGGTCTGCTGGAGAGAAGCGTCACCATGTTGGTATGCGGTCATACCCGAGACATGACCTGCGAGCTCGACGACCTTCATATCCTTCTTCAAATTGCGACGGAAAGAGACGTAAAGCACTTTACGCTGGCCGGGCTTCAAGCCATCAATGACAGAGGGAATGGATCGCTGGTTATCGGCCATACTGAACAGGATGAGCTCCTTGTTGATGAAGTCGGTGTAGGTGATCTTGGCCACGGAATGATCTAGGAAAGTTCCGGGCTTGAATTGGCGCAACCACTCCTTTCGCTCATCAGCCTTCTTCTTCGAAAAGGCCAATTCAATGAGCTCGGTCTCGTGGTCTTGCAAAGTGTGGAACTCCTTCAGGTGACGATCGAGGTCACGGAAGTAGACTTGAGCATCTTCCGTTGTGCTTGTACCCAGACCCTTGTAGTACTTGTGTTCCCAGCCGCGTTCGTGACCGTGCTGCTCCTTCCACGCCTCGTACTCGGGCATGGTGAAGAATGAGCGCTGCTTCGTCGGGTTTTTAGGATCCCCCTTCCAAACCTTGATGATGGGGGTGATAAACTCAATCAAGAACTCTGGGATTTTGAGCAGACTGGGAAATTGAGCCTGCAGAAAATTGATGAGCAGACCCTTGATGTGACTTCCATCGTGATCCTGATCGGTCATGATCATCAGGTGACCATAACGAAGACCGCGGGTGTCAATGTATTCTTTCTTGTGCTGTAAGCCCATGAAGTTCTTGATATTCTGGATTTCCTGATTCTTGGAGATCTGCTCGAACGAGGCGTCTCGAACGTTGAGTAGCTTTCCTCGCAAGGGGAAAACACCAAACAGATCGGGTCCGACCACTGCACGCCCTGCCATGGCGAGACCCTTGGCGGAGTCACCCTCGGTCAAGATCAGGGTGCAATGATGGCCATCTTTGGTACCGGCCTTGTTGGCATCGACCAGTTTTGGGTTGTTCATACGGGTCCGACGACCACCATCCGTCTTCTTCAACATCTGATCCGCTTTGGCCTGGGCGAAGTGCAGGATATTGTTCATGACCTCGGTCTTGAGGATCTTCTTGTAAAAGTCTTCTTCCAGGACGCATTTGCTGCCAAACTGGCTCGACTTTGTCGTCAGCTGTTCCTTGGTCTGAGAGGTGAAGGCTGGGTTCACAATCAAAGCGTTGACGAAGATGAAGATATGGTTCCGAATCTGGGCAGGTTTCAGCGTCGCGCCGTTCTTGTTCTTCTTCTTGACCTGATCGGCCAGCTTGACGCAAATCTGGTCGGCAATGTAGTTGACATGAGTTCCTCCCGAGGTCGTTGCAATGGAGTTCACAAAGGAGACCTGATGGAACGAACCATCCGACACTGTAAAGCCCACCTCCCAGTGGGGGTCGGGGCTACAGGTGATGATCTCGTCTTTAGCGCCGGCATCCTCCTCGCCTCGTTCCCGACGGATGGCTTTGGTATACATCTCCATGTACTTCTTGAAGTTGCGGATAGGGACACGGCTGCCATTCAACTTCACGGCGACCTTGGCAGTCCCTGCCAGATCGTAGACGCGACGTTTGACCAGGGCTTCAAAGTCGTCGTCCATGCCGTCCATGCCAAACCTGGCGTAGTCCGGCTTGAAGGTGACTTTGGTGTAATCATCGCCCTTGGCATCGGTGATCTTGGCCTTGCCCATTTTCGACATGTTGCTTGTCCACGTCTGCTTATACTTCTTCTTCTGACGGGAATCCTGTGTCTCGATTGTGAATTCGGTGGAGAAGACGTTACAGAGCTTGGCACCGAAACCGTTACGACCACCGGTCACTTTCTGCTGCGTGTCATCGTAGTTGGACGAGGTGAGAAGATGGCCGAAGATCAACTCCGGAACATAGATTCCCTCCTTCGAGTGGATCTCGATCGGAATACCGCGACCGTTGTTCCAAACACTGATCTCGCCAGACTCCCGGTCGACGGTGACTCTGATTTCATCCATCTTGGCATCGTTCTGCTTGTTATCGGCGGCGTTGACGACGATTTCGTCGAAGATCTTGTAGAGACCGGGGACGTATGAGACCTCCCGGTATTCCATCCCCTCTGTTGTCGAACTGTACACCCACATGTGTTGAGTGGTCCGTTCGACGGATCCGATATATGTATCGGGACGTTTGATGATGTGTTCAAGTTGTGTGAGCTGCACAGTCGTGACTATATCAGCCTACGGTTCGAGGACCGGTTGTGGGGGTGCATGCATGGATGCGCCTACCTTCTGGTACTTCTCTGACGCATTGGTGGACTTTGCGGGTTCGTCGCCGGCATCCCCTCCGAACGATTCATTCTCTACGTCGGCGAGCGGTTTCGAGCCTCCTTTCTTCGCGGCGGGAGCCTTTTTAACCTTCTTGGGGGGTGTTTGCGCGAGGGAGGCATCGTCGTCCGACATTCCCATGCCATCGGACAGGTCATCCTCGCTATCTGGCTTGGCTCGCTTCTTGGAAGCGGTCGCCTTTGCAGCTGGCTTTGCGCCGAGCTTGGTCTGGGTTAACTTTTTGGGCGCAGCTTTCTTGGGGGCGGCTTTCGCCTTGGGTTTCTATGGCAGGGTTGAAGTCAGCGGGAGTGTCGAACCCATGGGTCGTCATTTTTCTAGAGACTGTGAGACTTACCGGAGCTGGCTCGGGAACGAAATCGGAGCTTCCCTCGGAATCAAACATGGAATCATCCATGAGTGAGTCGTCCATGATGAAGGAATGTGGAATAAGGAACAATTCCACGGGGGTTGGACGGGTGCGGAGAACTGAAGAGGGAGAAAGAAAAAAAAAAAAAAAGCTAAAGGTCAACGAGTGACAGAATGGTTAGTAACAATGAAGAAGATGCTCAAGGGTCAACCTCCAGCATGCTCGAAGAGTGATAGTAGGATGGAGGATAGACAGATGCGACCCGATCCCCTCTCCTTCTGGTGTTGGTTCTTTTCTTTGTTTCCCTCGCTCGGTCTCTCTTGTTTGTTGACACGCTGCTGCGACTCGTGATCCCAGTCTAACTAACTACAGCCACGCGGATCATTATTCCTCCCCGCCGACTGTGGCGCAAAACACTCCGAAAGGGGAAAATCCCAAACAAATGAACCCGATTAGGAAGGCGCGACCCAAACAAGCAAGGAGGGGGAAATCGCTTGCTGAGTCACCCTATCAAAATATTAGTTCGTTAACTGTCTATGACTATGATATCACTATGAGATGACTGTAGTGAGTCCAGGGAGCTGCAACATGTATCTCAATGTCTATCTCTATCGTCTATGGAAAGGATGTTATCTCCTTTTGTATCCCACAGGGAAGGATAGATCAGTTGCCCCAGACAACAACTGCTGCACAATCTGATATTAGATGTGGGAGAGAGGCTGCTTGACATTCATGTATCCTTTTGTATGGCCAGTTGTCTCTATTTATTACCTTATTATTATTATTATTATTATTATATCCTCACTGACAGAAGAAGCCTGTCGATTTGAAGAAGTCCCCCCTTAGTGAGCGGTGGTTTAGTAGGTAAGATGGAAGTGAGGCATATTAGCTATTTCTGGAGAGATGGCCCAGGAATATATCCGAGAGACTCTCTGGTAGCCTTGTCTAATATCTCTCAAGTCTCAACCAACTTACCAAGGTAGTACGTCGTCGAAAAATGAAGGAGAATTTCATCGAGATATTGCAGATTCATCAATGTCGACTTCTTTGGTAGACATGCCACTCTTGTATGTATGTCAAGTTCAATCGTCGTCAATTGAATCCAGCCTGTGGCCACCATCTCGGCTGATGGGAACCACTTGATCCGTCGAGTGACCAATCACCAAGAAACAATCGATTAAGGCTGGATGTCAAATGTCAAGTGTCAAGTCGATCCAAGTCGATCATCACTCATCATCATCAGTCTAACTACTCCGTACTGTGTATGTTATTGACCGTGCGTGAGCTTTGAGTCTTGTGGTTGTGGCTAGTGGAGACATTTATAGAGTCAAGATTCCAGTCTACTACTACTACTACTACTACTACTACTACTACTACTACTACGTCTACAGTATACTACAGTACTCTATACTGCTATAGTACATACAGTGTTTGTGGTTCAGGAGATCGAGAATTGGCTTCCATCCATGGTTCCAATCATGCGGAGAAGATCAGCGTGCCTTGCAGTATGCAGAAAGTAGTCAACTTAACTTCTTAAGGCTCCTCTCATCATCCATCATCATTCAATCATTCAATCAATCCAGTATCTAGATATCTAGTGTTAACTAGTTCGTTTGCATAGCACGATGAATCCGGATTCAAATCATGAAACTCGCTTTGATTGGAAAAGGGATCGACGGGGCCGAGAACTTTTGACACAGCAATTTGGACTTTTCTTTCACTGGTGGACGCTCTCCAAGTGGGTATTGTTTTTTCTTTCTGGGTGAGTGCCCCTATTCCCTCTTCCCTCTTCCCTCTTCCCTATTCCCTATTCTCTATTCCCTATTCCCTATTCCCTATTCTCTATTCCCTATTCTCTATTCCCTATTCCCTCTTCCCTCTTCCCTCTCCCACTCTGTCCTCCTGTCATAAGTTGTCCACTAGTTAGTCAATGGCTCTGGAAGCCTTCAAGGACCAGCGAAGACACTAGGGAAGTCATTAGTCGCTCTCATCGATATTATATTATATATTATATATTACACAGTATATTATAATTAATTAGCTTCAGGAGAGGAGTTCTGGAGACAATCAAAGCTTGAAACAATCACCGCTACTTACTTACTTACTTACTTACTTACTTACCTTTCTCCCTCTTCCCCTCGTCCTCGACTTTTCCCCTACACTTGTTTCGAAAGTCATCCACTTACCCAACACACACACACACACACACAACACACACAATCCACTGGTGTTTTAGACCCTTTTTTTTTTCTTTCTCTTTCTTTCGTATTTGTCTTTCTTGGACGAGCGATGCTGTCGGGATTGGCAGTTTCTCATTCGATCGTCAACCTTCTTCACATCCCCTTATCGCTTTGAGCCGGCCCCTCGGCCGAATCAATTTCAAGATAGAAGAATTGACCGCAAATCCCACGTCGCTGTCATTGATCTATCGCAATAATCCAGCCAAGTCCTGTGAACTGGAAACTTGCAACACTCCTCTCGACACTCATCTTCCCCATACCACCAAGAAAGCTCCATGGAGAGCTCCGGCACGACCGCGTCTCGCGCGCATCACTCCGACATCTCTCTCCACAATGACGAGCCCACTCGTCCGAACCATACCGACTCGATGGTGACGGTACCCTTGTCCGATGTGCATTCGACATCCGAACACTCGCAGCCCGATTGGCGATCGCTCGACATTCCTCCGACCCCTCTCGGCTCAGATGCCTACAGCGGAAACGAAGCTGAGAGGAGGACAACACCTACGCAGGATGATGTGAAATCGGATGGACGGATGGATCGAGCCTTTGATGCCGCTCCTTCCATTCGATCTCGGAGTAGTGACGAATATGATCGCGGCGAGGGAGTCGATTGGGAAGAATTGGATAAGACGGAGGAAAAAGAATTCCGTGGCGAGAGATCAGACGAGGTGGGTGACGATCGTGTGGTGTGGTGGAGACCATGGGAAGACAACTGACCAGAAACAGTCCACCGCGCTCCTTCTTGCCCGCCTGGAGCAGGAGAATAATGCTCTGGCGACGAACCCCAAGTCCGTCAGTCAACACCGGTTACATACACGACCATCACGAGCGCAATCGCTGCATCAGATCAAGCGGTTGATCAATGATGACCCTCGATCCTCTCTGCGGTACTCCCAGCTTCCCCCACCCCCCATGACCGAGCTGGAATTCTGGGCGGCCTTGGTCGCTGACTACCCTCAAACCGCTCAGCGACTGCCCACGTTGACCTCGAACAAAATCCGTGGAGGAATCCCGCCGCCCCTTCGAGGCGTGGTATGGCCGAGTCTGGCTGGCGCTCGAGATTCTTCTCTACTGGTCGAGTATCAGAGACTGTGTGGGGAATCGAGCCCGTACGAGGGCTTGATCGGGAAAGACATTGGCCGCAGCTTTCCCAACGTGGAGATGTTCCGTGATCCTCACGGAGAAGGGCAGCAGATGCTCGCGCAGGTGCTCAAATGCTTCAGCCTTTATGATACCAAGATTGGGTACTGCCAGGGGCTGGGCTTCGTTGTTGGACCGTTACTCATGCACATGACGGATGCAGAAGCATTCTGTGTGCTCGTACGGTAGGTACTCAGTCATCCTCCCTGCTGAAGATGAAGACTGATGAGATAGGCTCATGGACTACTATGGTCTGCGGACATGTTATCTGCCTGACCTGTCAGGCCTGCATCTCCGCGTCTACCAGTTCCAAAATCTCCTGGCGCGCCACCGTCCCGCTCTGTTTGCACACTTGGAATCGTTGAACGTGGAGCCAATCTACGTCTCGCAATGGTTCCTATCCTTTTTCGCCGTGGCCTGCCCGCTTCCCATGCTCCTTCGCATCTACGACGTCATTTTCCTCGAAGGAGCGTGCGAGACCTTGATGCGGGTTGCGCTTGCGCTGATGCAGAGGAATGAGAAGAAGATCATGGGCTATTCGGAGTTCGACGATGTGATGCAGTTTTTGTTGTCCAGGAGCTTGTGGGATACGTAAGTCATGTGTCGACGGTGGAAGAAATCAACCCTCGCTAATGGGGTCTAGATACGCCTGCCATGCCGACGAGTTTGTCAATGAGTTCGTCTCCTTGACCTCTCTAGTGACCAAAGAAAGCCTGCAAGCGCTGGAAGTGAGCTACAACCAGTCTCAAGGCGTGCCGACCGGGATCACGTTCCCTCAGATGCAGGCGGCCGCTTCCAGGTTCCTGGGCCGGTTTTGGGCCGGATCCAGCTCCCAGACGAAGTCGTTCACACTCAACCCCAACAGTGGCAGTATGTCCACGCGTGGTAGTGTGCGCCGCTCCGCGTCTAAGCAAAGCATGACCTCCACGTTGAACTCGGTGGAATCGACGTCCGATGCGAGCACCGCGCCGACCGAGCTGTCGGCGGAGCCGCAGAAGCCACGGGCCAAGTCGGCCATCTCGCACAACAAGGATCGTGGTCTCCACTCGCAGATCGAGGATCTGCTGATGGCGCTCAGCGATCTGCAGCGACAACACGCGGATCTCACGCGGGAGCTGGAGCAGGAGCGCGAGGAGCGCGAGGAGGACCAGGAGCTGGCCAAGGCCATGTTGAACTACATCAAGGAGCTGGCGCCGGCGGATCCCCCCACGGATTTGATTCGAAAAGCGGAAGAACGGTTCATCGAGGCTGTGCCCACGAAGGAGGTATCGATTCCGCAGACCAAGCATCAGCTCCGCGAAGATCTCCAGCGGTGGAAGGCGATGCACGAGGTCGAGGCGGGCCGATGCTTCGACCTCACGCGTCGCATTGACGAACACGATCAAGAAACTGCGTCACTCCGGGAGCAGCTGCGCGAGGCGCGTGGCCGCATCCAGGAAGGATACCGGGACCGCCAACGGCTCGAGCGGACCGTTCGCGAGCTGCGCTCCATCAAGACGTCCAGCCCCGACACGCCTCCGGAGATGTTCGGCTCGCCGACCAGTGAGTCCGGCGAGAGCCGGTCGACGGGCGGGCTGCGCGAACTCAAGCTGGTGCGGTCCAACTCCCAGAAGAGCACGATGTTCGCCAAGCGCTCCAGCAGCCTGGGCCTGCAGAGCGTCCTCGCGACGGAGCAGAACCGGCCGGCACCGGAGGAGACGCTGCTGCTGGAGCTGGTCAATGCCAAGACGGCCGAGGCGGTGGCCCGACAGGAGCTGGAGGAGGTCAAGGCGAGGCTGGACTCGCTGCGGAAGATGATCGGGAACCAGGACTCACTGTCGCGGAGTAATTCATTTCTGACGCGGTCGCCGTCGAGTGCCGGCAAGACCCTGACGGAGCCTGCCAACAATACCGGCGGCTTCTTCAGTGGCTGGGGTCGCCGCGCCGCCTCCACGACCAACGACCCATACGAGGTGAAATAGGGGGGTTGAGTGGCTGCGGCGGATATTACCGAATGATGTATAGATTGAGGTGGGAGCCTTTCTTTTGTTCATCTGCTGTTAGATTGGTATCTCTCTTCTCGTATATGATATCCCCACGAATGTACATAGTCTCTATCCTATCTTATCCAATATAATATCCAATCCCCATCCTCACTTTATCCACCTATTCCCTTGATATAACCCCCCTCCTCTTCCCCCAATCAAACCCAGACAGCCCACGCCTGCACCGCCCCCATCACCGCAACCACAATCCCCGTCCTCCGAACCCCATTCTTCAAATACCACCCCGAACTCACCCCCATAATCCCCGCCAACAACGCCGCAACGCCCTGATTGGCAGGTAAGCTCAGCGCCTCGGGATTCTGCGCCCAGTGGTAGTTCAGCAGCGCTGTGTATGCGTCAGCATCTTTTCCTTCCTCACTTCCTTCCCTCCTTGGAGTAGGCGAGGGGAGGGAGAGGGACGCGGGGGGGGAAAAAAAAAAAAAAAAAAAAAAAAAAAAAAAAAAAAAAAAAAAAAAAAAAAAAAAAACTCACCAGCAACGAGCAGAAAAGCACTACCCTGGTACCAGCCTGCTTTTGCGCATGTGTAGGCGAGGCCGGGCAATTTGCGGAACTCGGGGAGGGATTGCCAGTCCTTGGCGGCGAGCTAGAAGGGGTTTGCAAGTGGTGGTACTGTTAGGGGGGTGTTTTTTTGTTTCCAAGGGGGACAGGATGGGGATGGGGATGGGGATGGGGATGGGTGCAGTGCGTACGGTGTGACCGAGAGAGGCGAGGAGCCAGCTGATGGAGGCGATGTGGAGTTTGGTGCTCATTTTGGTTTTGGGGAACTTTGAAGGTTATATATAAGTGGTGGTGGTGGTGGTTATGGGGAGATGGGATGTCAAGTATGGTCGAAGAACTCGGTTTGGATGCTTGTTTGGGATATACTTGGGAGACTATGGATTAGAGTAGGAGTAGGAAGAAGAACTTGTGAACAGCTCTGCGTGATGGAAACTGTTATTTATAGATAGAGAGAGATCCTTTCTTGAAGAACGGTAGAGTCGCTGAATGATTACTGATTACTGATATTGATTGTCTGCCCATTGTTCAGAAGAGCTCTGGCTGGATCTCATCCTATCGCCACAAACAGTACATCGCAATATGGCCCAACAACCAACTGCTCAGAATGATATAGGCTAGTCGTTTGTTTGTATCGAAATCACCCCGAGTTTATATCTTCAACATCAATTCGGAGGAGCTCCGATGCGGGGTATACAACGCGGGGTATATTGATGTTGATGTTGATGTTGATGTTGATGTTGATGTTGATCCTCCTAGAGGAGAAGGTGAGATACCTTCATTCTCTTCACACATCTACCGCCAGGATGGTCCTCGCAAAGCCGGAGAACAAACACGTCCTCAAGGCCTTTGACCTTACCGGCAAAGTCGCCGCCGTGACGGGTACACTACTCCCTCCTTAGACACCGATACCCTAAGTAAGAACAAACTAACAGCGCAGTACAGGCGGCGCCCGCGGCATCGGCCTAGAAGTCTCGCATGCCCTGGCCGAAGCAGGCGCCAACGTACGTCCTCCCTCCCCCCTTAAGCCACTGGTAAGCAAACAAACTCACTGACTCGAATCGAGGTGGCCCTCATCTACAACTCCTCCACCACCGCCGCCACGACCGCCGCCGAGATCGCCGCCGCCAACAACGTCAAAACCGCCGCCTACCAAGCCAACGTGAGCGTCCAGACGGACATCGAACAGACCATCCAGCAGATCGTCGCCGACTTCGACCACCTCGACATCATCGTCGTCAACTCCGGGATCACCTCCAACGTCCCCGCAGAGGACTACACCCCCGCGCAATGGAGCGAGATCATGCGCGTGAACCTGGACGGCGCGTTCTACACCGCGCAGGCCGCCGCGCGCGTCTTCAAGACCCAGCGCCACGGCAATGTCATCTTCACGGCGTCCGTGAGCGCGACGCTCGTCAACGTGCCCCAGAAACAGGCCGCGGTAAGTACCACTACAATGCTAACCTCCGCCCTCCCCATCACATCGGTCAAGCAACGCGCCAACGCCACTGACGGAACTGTAGTACAACGCGTCCAAAGCCGGGGTGGTCCAGCTGGCAAAGTGCCTCTCGGTCGAATGGGTGGACTTCTGCCGCGTGAACTGCATCTCGCCGGGTTTCATCGAGACGGATATCCTGGATATCCACCCGGCGGAGTGGAGGCAGAAGTGGTACGAGATGGTCCCTGCCGGCCGCTTTGCGGACACGTATGAGCTGAAGGGGGTGAGTGATAGCCCCCTGGTATCCTCTTGACTGCGGGTGCTGATGGGACCAGGCGTATGTGTTTTGTGCGTCGGATGCGTCGAGTTATATGACGGGCGCCAATATCGTGATTGATGGGGGGTACACTCTTCCGTAGGATGTCGATAACTGTGCTTGGTATTGAGATTCGAGAGTGGCAGATTAATTGTTGAATGTTGGTTCAGCTCGCCGATGCTGAGGCAAATAGTTGTAGAGCGACACGCTCAGCCTGTTTGAGTATGGTATATCCCGACATTCTGGATAACAGGGCACTGTCCAATCGACAACTGACAAGTCTTATAAGAATATATCCGCTGAAAGACCGTGCATAGATTTACGACGTGGAATACCCGTCGACGAAGCTGAAACACGCTGGCTGTGCCCTTGTAAGCGCCTCGCATCATACGTTGAGAGGTCGACAACCACTACCCTCTATCTCGGTACCGAGGATCTCTTATAATAGGCTAATTCTAAGCGCAGAGCTTTGCTGCGGAGTCTTTTAAGCTAGTGCATCGTGTTGCTATGGACTATTGGCCAAAAAAGCTGATCGGTGTCGTAGCGCTTAGGGCTATAAAAAGAACTATACAATAGATTTGTAGGGCGGGGAAACAAGCATATAAAACCGTGAATGTCATTATGTCGAAGAGACTGCTCCCATCCCAGAACAATCAAGAGTAACAAGCACAATGCATCTGGAGCCAAAAAAGTTGAACCTCTTGTCCTTGGACGGCGGCGGGATCCGCGGTCTCTCCTCTCTCTATGTCCTCAAACAGATGATGGAGGCCATTGACCCAGATCAACCCCCGAAACCGTGCGAGGTCTTCGATATGATCGGCGGAACAAGCACAGGAGGGTAAGGCCTCTGTTGAACCATATCGCTTACCCAATCCACACTAACAAGCTAGATTGATTGCCATCATGTTGGGCCGCCTCAAAATGGACGTGGACCAGTGCATCGACGCATACTACCGGCTTTCGAAGCAGGCATTCACACGGAAGAGTTTTTTTCCCGTCACCATCAGAGGAGGGTTCAACGCCCGCTTCGACAGCAAGAAGCTAGAACAAGCGTTGAAGACTGTCATTGCGGAGCAGGGCCTTGACGAAGACGCCCTCCTCCAGGACCCGGACGCCTCGTGCCACGTCTTCGTCTGCGCAACCCGAACAACCACCGGTAGCACCACAAGCTTCACGAGCTTCTACCACCTGCGCGGCGAGACGCACCTATACCGTGTCATGAAGATTTGGGAAGCCGGCCGGGCGACGTCCGCTGCGCCCTCGTTCTTCGATCCGCTGATGATCATCGACTCCGTGATGCGGAACGAGCGCAGGTTTATCGACGGGGCGCTGGGCGCAAACAATGCCGTGAGAAAGGTGTGGGAGCATGCCATGGATGTGTGGAAGTCGGATAGGTTTGAAAAATCGGAGTCGGGTAGGTTTGAAGACCAGCTGGGGTGTCTGGTCTCCATTGGGACGGGCACGCCCCCGGAGATGCAGTATACCAGAGGAATCTTTCAGACTCTCAAGCTTAAAAAGGGCCTTGTGACGGACACGGAGGTTGAAGCAGAGGACTTTGCGGAGGAACATGCTAATTTGGTTGATGAGCACCGGTATTTCCGGTTCAATGTCCCAGGTGGATTGGCGCAGATTGGACTCGAGGAAATAAAGAAGATAAACCAGATTGAGTTGGAGACGAACAAGTATCTGGCTGCTGAAGCGGTTAGCCAGGAGATTGATATCTGCGCCAGGTCGTTGCGAAGGTGATGGGGTTCGAAAAGGGGGAGGCCGTCTACTTTTCGTGTTTGCGTTCTTGTTTAATCCAGAATGATTAGACTCATATTGAGCTGAGGTCTAATTGCCTTATGTTGGACTGGTTTTGTATTCCTCCTGTTAGATTGGGACCAGTAGGGAGCAGGCATAATGGGAATATGTAATCACGTTCGTTTAGCTGTATCCCATGGATTTATTCTCGAGGGCTTCATAATTTTGGTGAGTTCCGACAATGACATCGTGTATCGCCAGCTCGCTGGTCATGTTCATGACAGAGTGGTGGCCGGGGTATGGGCTACCAGGAGGTTCACTGGCAGCGATTTGATCAAATCCTCTTATTGATATCACATCGGGGTCTTCAGGTACCCTCGGAGTGAAGACACAGTAGGAACAGTGAGGTCCTCTTTTATAAAAACACCTAAAACACCCTTACGGTCATCTTCAACAACTCACCTATTGGATATCAATCGACTCGACATGGTGCAGCAGGGACTGCATAGTATGGCTGCCAGCCAAGTGATCTCTGCATGGCTAAGGGAGAGACAGAATTATATCAAAGTCAGTCAGTACATGGCGGATTCCTGTTGTGGCCTTCTGACATTGCTCTGACTCTACATGTTTTCAGCATGCTCCTCTTTCCAATGAAAAATCCTGATGAATTCGAATCGACATTGGCTCTCCTCCATCCTTCCCATCAGTTCTCTCACTAGGGACAAACGAGTCCATCTCGACAGATTCTGAACTCGTCGTCAGAATTGCCTCGTTTTCTCCAGGTTGCAGCACAAGCCATCTTTCTCTCTGTCTGCCCTCCTGGGTTCGGAACAGACGATGCCTAGCACTCTCAGCTACACCAGTCTGACGGCGCCGTGTGTATTTTACATCCATCCCTTGAGATAAACCGGCGTCAAATTTGCCAGCCATTCGAGACGATCCCATAATTCGATTGAGAGCCGATTTGAGGAGGGGTTGAAGAGTTGGAAGACAAGCACAGACAATGCCAACACAGGGCTCGACGCTAGACCAGATAAACACGTCGCCCGTTATCCAGGTGATGTCTACGGAGCTGCTGAGGAAGGTTATGAAATAAATGCGGACGATGATCGCAACGCAGACACTGGAATCGTCAGCCGCGGATCGGCATGAATGTGCTTGGAATGTAACGTACAAACCACCCAACAGGAAAATGCTTGATACCAGGATCTTCTGGGTCGTACGCATCTGGAGTCTCCAAACTAGCGGAATGGGTACCATGAGAATGATTCCGTCCGTCACGACGTTGGCTGCGGCATTGCCGAGGTAGAACGGATAGAGGTCAAAGATGCATCTACCTCCACTCGGATCTCGGTATTGTGTCCAATAATAGGATGTTGGCCTGCAGCAGACGAGGAAGGCGATACTGCACGAGATCCAGTAACCAACGGTCAAGAAGATGCACATCCACATCGCCCATTCCATACCAAAAATGCGACGATAGAAGAGGACGATTGAGATCTTGATGAGTGGAATGGCAACAACGTAGATCAGGACATATGCGAAGAGAATCTACAAGGCTCAGCATACTCTCCCCAACTTTTCAACATTGGCCTACCCTCATCACAATGATCACGTCGTCCAGCTTGACCACCCAGACATGTTTTCCGAGACCATAGTACCCCCCTACACCATGTCAGTATTTGAACCCGAAGAAATCATCAGCGAAACTTTCCTACGATGGTACAAATCAGATTCGCCGTCACAGTCACCTGCTCTGTCAGTCACTTCACCATCTGGCAGTTAAATAGAACTCACGAGAGCAGCAATAATCAACCAGTCATCCGCCAGAACTTGAGCATTCTGCACCTTCAACCTCGCAGCGATCCGCAGTGCAATGGCAACAGCTGCGAGAATATACAGAGAGATGACCGTGGCATTGTTCCGTGGCGTACGGTTCCCCCCCAGATCTACCCCTGGTGGTGGCTCACCAAATGGACCTGACATACTCGGCCTACTCACAAATGCTGCCAGTTATAGGCAAAAGTAAACTCGCGCAATCACTTTCAAGACGGGATTTGTACAATGCAGCATTCTACACTGGAAATCAATAGAAATCTCGCCAACTCGTATGGACAACCCCGAGAGATTTGTGAGTCCTGGCATAGGACAACAGTCTTGTTGGTACTCCTTTTGACAACAGGGATGCGAGTCAGAATATCGTTCCAATTCGTATCGCGAGCCCTCGTTGAGTCCATCCACGGAGACGTTTTAGTATGAATTAGGGTGTCATGGCAGCGTTAGCAACAGACCGATCTCTAAGAACCCTGTAAGTGACCAGGGTCACGGCGTATTGCCATGGACAAATTGCCGAGTCAGATTTCATTCAGACAGATATTGACAGGATCAGTTTAGCACTTGAAATCTGCGCAGATGGGCGAGACTTTGTGCTCGATTCAATGTCGTGCGACCTCAACCATAACCGACAAAGTCAAGGGACCTCCATACCATGTGTGATCGTCAACGCCCCTGAGAAAAGGACCAGCTAATTGGATCATATAATAGCAGCTAGATATTTGTTAACCGTGGTGCATTTGCGTTCTCCGTATTCTGTAACATTGGCGCATGCTGATCTAACCTCCTTCATCCACTTCCCTTGTCAACTGTCAACTGAAATGCCAATATCAACATCCACTAATGCAAATAATAATGAAACGGCTTTGGACCACCTCATACCACTGTCCAGAATCCCCAATGCCACAATTTAGTCCATTGAGCTAGAGAGGTTATCATCCAATGCCCCTCATTTCGCGGAATCCCAGGGGGCCATTATATCAGGGTTCCTGCCTCCCTCGAGCAACTTTTAGAACCACTTCCCCTTGAGTGAAGAGAAAGATGCCTTCCAACGAGTCATTCTCAGTTCCCAACGGTGACGCTCATGTTCATAATGACTGGGCCATCCACCCGTCTCGATTTGCCTTTACTCCCCAAAGGATGAGGGTTGTCTGCATCGGCGCGGGCTTTTCAGGGCTGATCCTAGCACATAAGCTTAAACATGAGAGACCTATGGAGTTTGTAGATCTGACAATCTATGAGAAGAACACGGACGTTGGAGGTACCTGGTTTGAGAACGTCTATCAGGGGGTTGGGTGGTAAGTACGGTGCGTCTAGGTTGGCATTGGACAACTGCTGATGTTGATAGTGACATTCCATCCCGTATGTGACATTCCTTTTGTAATGCTTGCCGTGTCTTACAAGAACAGATAGCTACATCTTCCCCTTTGAGCCGAATCCCTCCTGGTCCAAATTCTATGTCAATGGACCGGAGATTCAGCAGTACATCTTAAACACAACGAAGAAGTATGGGTTAAGGGAGATGATCATTTTCAATACCAAGCTTGTCCACGCCAGTTGGAGTGAGAAAGACGGGAAGTGGAAACTCAGGCTGGAGCAGAATGGTTCCATTATCAACGATGAAGCTGATGTTGTGCTGGATGCCAGCGGTATCCTAAAGTACGTCAATCACACCAATTTCAGTTTCGAACTGATACCTGAGTTGCCACAGTCAATGGAAATGGCCCGATATTGAAGGTCTACACTCCTTTGGAGGCAAGCTTGTGCATACTGCTCGATGGTGAGGGCACGTTTCTCCTTGACCCATCATGTAGCTAAAGGGGTTAGGGACCCGGACTACGACTGGACGGATAAGAAAATCGCTGTCATCGGAAACGGCTCTTCTGCCCTCCAGGTTGTTCCAGCTTTGCAACCCAAGGCTGCGAGAATAGTCAACTACATCCGTCACGCGACTTGGGTGTCCACGAATCTTTGCGGCAATCTTACCAAAGATGGCATGGGAACTAACTTTGAATTCACAGAGGAGGAAAAGCAGCGGTTCACGGATGATCCGGAAGAATTTCTCAGATATCGCAAAACGCTTGAAGAATCCTAGGTCTTTTTCACTCTTTCACCCTTAGGATTCTGCTCATAGCGGGATCAACAGAGTCAACACTGTATTCCGACTGATGCTCTCCGACTCTGAGGACAACAAATTCCTCCTCAATCTGGTGGATGGCGCCATGCGGGCCCGACTGTCAAAAAGCTCAGAACTTGCTGAAAAGCTCATCCCAAAATACGAGATTGGTTGCCGCCGTCTAAGTCCGGGCGACGGCTACCTTGAAGCCTTACAAGCCGACAATGCCGATATATGCTTCAGCGGTATCCAACGCATCACTGGGACCGGGATAGAGACGGAGGCTGGCGTCGAAGAATTCGACCTCATCGTCTGCGCTACAGGCTTCAACACCACCTTCATTCCCGCCTGGGAGCTCGTAGGCCGCGAGGGCCGGCGGTTGAGCGAAGAATGGAAAGAGAAGCCGGAAGCATACTTTTCCGTCTGCGCGGCTGGATACCCCAATTACTTTATGTTTGCGGGACCGAACTGCCCTATCGGGCACGGTTCAGTGCCGCAGATGCTGTCTTGGACAGCAGATTATATGCTGGACTGGGTTGCGAAGATGGCCACGGAGGACATCAAGTACGTTTTCAGTATAGCAGACTCATTGAACCAGCTATTGACTGTATGCAGATCGGTTGCAGTGAGGGACTCAGTAGTCCGCGACTATAATACCTTTGCCCAGGAGAACCTTAAGCGTGCGGTCTGGTCGAAGGGCTGCCATGCCTGGTACAGCAAGAAGAACAAGGGAGATAGCAACACTGTCACAGCGATGTACCCAGGGAGTGTCTTGCATTTTAAGGGTAAATTCCTGCCATGGGTTCAAGTGTAGAAATACTGCTAACTGACCAAAGCTTTCATGCGCAATATCCGCGGCGAACACTTTGATATTAGATATAACACGACTAACCCGTTCCGCTACCTGGGCAATGGAGAGCTGGCTTTCGAACGGGCCGAGGGTGCGGATCTCGCGTTTTATCTCAAGTAGATAGAGGTACATGTCCAGTAGTCCTTATGTCACTGGATAGAAACTCTCCTGGTATATAGACAAAAGGTGTATTGACTGGGAGAATAGAGAAGAGGAAATGCAGCCAGCGTACAGCCTACTGGTCAAATAACCACTCTGATAAATGAGCTTCATTGATGGGAAGTCATTGTTTCCTGCCTCCCAATGAGCAATCTCTTGATCAATATGAAGGCCACAATCTATACTGGAAGCAGAACAATGAGCTCTTTGAGGTAATGGTTCCCAAAGTCCTGCTGCCTAAGGCATAGATGAACCATGTGACCAGCTTCTTCTTCTTCTTCTCTCACTTCCTTCCCAAACATCTCCTTTTTTTCTTCCTCTTCCTCTTCCTCAAGCAAAGCTCCTTTCACCTCTACAATGCCCTGAGTTACAGACCGAGGTAGCAGTGTGATGCGGGCTGTTCACCCATGATGTAATGCCTTGACGATGGATGCCATCATCAGAGAGAGGAGAGAGATATGTACGCTCCTCATGCTGGAGATCAAGCATTGGCCTCTCCACAACATGTCCTCGAGTCCATGAGGCACTCCAGACCATCTCCAGATCCCCAGAGACGCCTGATGATTATGGAAAGCCTGTGTTATTCGGCTCCGGAATGTAGTTCCGCCCCTATCATTTTCTCCTATCTTTACTATCTCGGGGTGGCCGAGCCTTAGCTTCGACTGTCCATGTCTCCCCTAGCCCCGGGGCATAATTGCGCCCTGTCCTCATATCAGGTCGTGGAGGCAATGCGGAGAGATGATGGCTAGTTGGTCGCAAGGCAGCCCCCGGATGTTACCTCCACATGAGGGAGCCTGGGGGGGGGCCCTGGTAAAGCTTATACGTGTCTATGGCTACATGACGTCAAACCAATCGGAGGAAGTAAGTGATAATTACGTCCAGGCTGGCCCGTACAGGGAGGTGTTTCTGACGGGAAAAGTCTCAAGCATTTAATGAACGTTGGTTCCCCTCTCGGGTGGACGACCAAGACTCATCATGAGCACCGTTCAGACCCTCCTACTGAACCCTATTCACTTATCTGAAAGCCAAATCCATCATGTCTCATTCCCATCCCGACTTTGACATTGCCGCGGAGCTTGGCCTGTCGGATAGGGAGAAGCAGGAGACCCCTGATGGTGGCATAGACCATTCCCCCTCATCTCAGTCCAGAGCCTGCCAAGGAGAAGGAAGACAAAAGGAAGAGACGGATGGTGCCGACGGGGTGGCTGATGGTAAGGTAGAACTGAAGGAGTACGATTGTTATGATAAGCTGGGGTATTCCTATCCTTGGTGGAAGAAATGGGGCATCTTGACCGTGATCGTCATGGTTCAAATATCAATGAACTTCAATGCCAGTTTCTACGCTAGTGGAATCAGCCTTATTGCTAAACACTTTAGGATCTCAAAGCAAGCTGCGAGAGTGGGCCAAATGGACTTTCTCATTGCCTACGGGTTTGGTAGCGAATTCTGGGCCCCATTCAGTGAAGAGTATGGACGATGGCCTATCATGCAGCTCAGTCTGCTACTGGTCAATATATGGCAGCTGCCCTGTGCGCTGGCTCCCAACTTTGGATCTATCGTGGTTGCTCGTATCCTAGGAGGTCTATCCTCCGCCGGTGGCTCTGTGACGCTGGGAATGGTGGCCGATATGTGGGAGGCCGAAGAACAGCAGTACGCTGTGGCGTATATTGTCTTTGCGTCTGTTGCGGGATCGGTTGTTGCTCCCATTGTGGGAGGCTTTGTGGCGACCTTCCTCAGCTGGCGTTGGAACTTCTGGCTTCAGTTAATTCTGGGAGGCTTCGTTCAAGTCGTGCACTTCTGGGTGCCCGAGACTCGATGCTCGATCCTGGTAACTCGTGAAGCCAAGAAGCGTCGGAAACGGGGAGAGATGGTTTATAGCGGGGATGAGCTCAAGGGCAAACGGCTTAATCTGAAGCACTTCGCGAAGATCTGGGCGCGCCCCTTTATCATGTTCATCCGTGAGCCGATTGTCCTGTGGCTCTCTCTCCTCAGTGGTTTCAGTGACGCGTTGATCTTCACTTTTCTGCAGTCCTACGAGCCAGTCTATAAGCAGTGGGGCTTCAGCACCATTACAATCGGTCTAGCCTTCATTCCGTGAGTATTTTCCCCAGCTTGGCTTTGAATCAAAAGCGCTTACTCTATCCAAGGATCATGGTTGGATATCTTCTGGCGTACTTCTCCTTCCTACCCTGGATCCATCGCCACTGCCGAGTCAGGGAACGAGATCCAGATGCTCTCCAGCCTGAAGCCCGCTTATACTGGCTGCTATGGGGTAGCTCTCTCACTTCCGTGCCTCAAGCCGCAAGACTAACCAGGGGGATGATAGTCGCTCCGCTCCTGAGCATTGGTCTCTTTGGTTTCGCCTGGACCAGCTTGGGCCCGCCCCATGTCCACTGGATAGCGCCGATGATCTTCTCATCGTGTATCGCAATAGCCAATGTAAGAGAACCCTGTCACTTTTGTCGATCTCATCTAATGCACTTAAGTATTCCATTTACATGGCGACAATCGACTACATGATCGCCTCTTACGGTCCGTACTCTGCTTCGGCAACCGGGGGCAATGCTCTGGCCCGAGACTTCCTGGCCGGTATTGCAGCTATGTACTCGGTCCCAAGTAACCAGGCCCTTTGAACCCTTTCACATTCCGATACTGATCTCATCACAGTGTATAAACACATGGGCCACACCAACACCCTTGAATGGCCATCCACGCTTCTCGGCTTCCTCTCCATCATCTTCATCGCCCCCATTTATATCTTCTACTGGAATGGGCCTAAGATCCGGGAACGGTCCAAGTTTGCTCAGATCCTCGCGGCGGACCGAAAGAAGGCTGGCCGCCGCGTCTCGCAGTGCGGATCTGGCAGCTCGGGCCCAGAGGAGTTTTACTTCGATCCCTAGGGGCAAATTGTTCACAGTTCATTCTCCATTCTGGGAACAAGCATCCATTTTGCGAGACGACGCGCCGTCCTATCATATGGACATTGTTGTCTCTTCCAAAGGTGGAGTGACCGGGATAGCACGCAACGTAATTGGGTTCGGGTGCATGCAATGCAATGCTGATTTCTTTCCATTCTGTTCCGTTAGCATCCGTTCCATTTCCATCGCATACTACTACTCTTATAGCTTGATAGTCAGAGCGAAATGCCAGTGAATTCAATTATACTTGTTACGTATATTGTCATTTCACCCTGAACATGACCAATGCTCCATGCCATGCTCTGGTAGATATGACTAGCCACTTGACGCCGTCAGCAGTCAATCACCACCAACATGCGGGATTCAACTCCGACGGCCAAGCGGGGACTAGGTGGTGTCGTTTATGATGAACTACGGTAACCAGTCGCCTATGCATCATTCCGATGTCAATCTCGGCGTGCGCTATCTTCAGAATCCCTGTACTCCGTAAACAAGGTAAACGTAGTATCGATGATGTATATTAGTTCAGACATTCCATATCCCCAAGCCTTGTATAAATTGTACACCAAGATGAATAAATCAGAAGCTTGAACGAAGATCAAAAGTGGAATGTGACGGGTGAAGATTACAGGGACGGGTCTTGCACTGGACTCTTTTTTTTTTGCAGTGCGGACTTTGTCCCGGATGTAGGATGGTAGGGGTAGGGGGTGTGATAGTGAGGGGATGCGGAATTGGCCTGCAGGGAAAGTGCTCAGTGGAGTTTCTTGAGCTTAGAGCGGTAAACCGTATCGTGTAGATACGGGATCTGGGGAGCGTAATGTGGAGGATCTGGGTTCAACGTGGCAGAAGAGGAGCAAGAAGGAGGAAGCGAAGTTGAGCCCAGACTGCATCCTGCATCCATCGTCTGTGTGTGTGTGTACGGCTTATCGCGAGTGTAGGCGAACGGGCCCTGACGTCATGACAGGTCTGGGCGCGAGATAACGCCCGAAATCAGCCGAATTGTGGGAACATTTCGCTGGGGAGGATTCTGCCCTGTAAAAGTGATGTTATCAGGGTATCCTGATTTTTTGACAGTCGCTAACTAGCAGTCATTCGAAGATTATTGTTCCCAGACGGTCTGCAGCTTCTGGATCTGGTAGCCCGTCGCCCAACCCAGATCCGCTTCCACACCGCGTAAGAGATCGGTGATGATTTGGCGCTCTTCGGGGTTCTCGAAACACTGGCCCACGGCAAAGAGCAAGGGAGTCATATAGATCCGGACACCGCCTTGCGGCCGGCCGAGCGCGATGCCGCAAATCTCCTTGCAGCGGTAGTCGACTTCCTTGGTTAGCTCGCGGTATCCCTGTAGCCGGTCAAAAGCCGTGCTGGGGGCGCTGATCACGTCCGGTGGGCGATTGAGGAGGAGCGCAAGTCGACCGAAATGGTATTGCTGCATCGCCGCGGCGCACGAAGTCATGCCGTAGAAGATCTCGGGGAATGGCATCTGGCTGATCTCGGGGAGCTTGGAGATGTCCTTGGGACGATCGAGGCGCAGGCAGGGGCGAAAGGTCTCGGGCATCTTCTCGACCCATGTCTGGAACTCGAAGCAGAGCCTCAGCCAAGTCGTGGTGGTCGGCTGCGATCGCGGAGAAGCGACGGTGGGGGATGGTGCAGCGGACGGTGGCTGTCCCACCCACTGTTCCACCTGGGATCGTTTCGTATCCGCGAGAAAGTTGAGAACCTTGTTGAGGAGCCATATGAGACTATTTGCAGCTAGATCTTCCCGTTGGAGCATCATGGGATTACGAGATGATACCCCGCTTTCCAGTTGGAGGTTGCCCTGCTCGTCGATCGGGAGACCAGCGGCGCGCCATAATGTGAGATTGTCCTGGTCAAAGTATGTTGAGGTTCGAGGAAAGTATGCTCCGAGATAGTCAAAGCGAGCGAGCATGAAAAAGGATGCCGCCGCCCCATGGGAAAACTGAGGAACCTCGGCATAGTTGCTGCATATTTGGAGCAAGGCATCAAACGCCGTTTTGGCGCCTTGGAGATGTCTTTTGACTGTTAGCGGAGAGCAATGAGGAAGATACGAGAATTGTGACATACGATTGCCACTTATCTCCTGCTTCGTCGAGGAGCTTGTAGGTGGTGAGGATGGTTGACGCGGCTAGTAAATCTTCCACTTTTCTCCAGAAGGTACCTACCACCGGCTGCTCTGTCGGTGGCCCGAATCCGGTTTGCTTTAGTTGTTGAGTCAACCAACGACTGACGTTTTCAATGGGGGATTCTAGTATAGCGGTGGTGGAAACCGTTGCGAACGGATCGGCAATCATGGTGTTGATGTGGGAAGAAGCCATGTAATAGTAGTTTGCGGCCTTCAAGAACCAGTCCACTTGAGAAGCATTCGGATAGACTTCCATGGTCGGTGGACTGGTAAACAGGGCCCCGCCAGTTGGAGAGATCGCTCCCTTGACTCGACCCAGGTGCTTGGCCGCCAAGGCGGCAATTGCATATTTCAGACAAGGGTCGTCAATGGCGCGCACGGGGACGTATGCTGAAAAGAACTTTCCCGCATCCGAGATGTCCAGCCTGGGATGCAGTGAGCACACGAGGTTTCTTTTGACGAGAGGCAAGACTCACCAAGGTCCGAGCGTCGTTGAAAAGTGCCTCGTGAGGAAGGCGATCTCATGCTCGGTGCCCGTCATCAGCTCCGAGAAAATATCCTGAAACTCCTCTTGCTCGCTACGTTGTGAGGGACTGGTCGAAGAAGCCAATGTCGCATTGGAGGGCTTCTTCTTCAGCTGGGTTGCAATATGATTAGGAATGGCAAAACCTCCCGCGGGAGCATTGCTAGGCGATAATGAGCTCGGTGCGTTGCTTCGACTCGACGCACTGTGTTGGTCAGAGCCTGCGATCTCAGCAGAGACTGGCTGTACGCCAAACCGATTCATCATATCGGCCATGCCGTCTAATTGCACCGGCGTATCTCTCATAGTCGGGGCCAGCTCCGTGGGCGTGGAGCGAACCGCTAGCTGGCTCACGTCAGGTGAACCCCAAGCCATGCTCATGGACGAGCCAGAATCTACACGGGTCATCAGACCAGGGTCAACCGGGACCGGTGTAACATTGCCTTCTGAGCTCTTGGCATGGTCGCTAGCCACCTGGTTTTACATTAGCATCATGAATATAGAGAGAGAGGGAGAGAGGGAGAGATCAAACGAGACTGACAGTTTCTTTGGGTTTGGAGGCATGCGGTTTAGGATGAGTTTCGCTATATGGAGCATACCGACGCCGGACCGAGGCGCCTTGATCTATAAACTTGCGAGTCTGGACATATCCTGGGCACTCCACGCCAGCATTGGTGCAGCGCTGGCAGCTCGGGCGCGTTTCATCACACTGCGTTCCGTTAACAATAATAATAATAATAATAAATCCGGGTACCGGGCGATCAGTAGGCAAGGCTGACCTTGAGATGTCGCTTTTTACATCGCTCGCACGCCTTGTTGGATGGAACCCCAGGCATCTTGTCTGTCTGTCCTACCTGCTCTGATGCGGAGAGATGTTCAGATCAGAACTGTGGAAAGATGATCTCTGGATGCTGAACCTGGACGAGATTGAGGCCGTCATTTCATCTCAATGGACGCGGAGTAGGGGGGCTTGGGAGGATTCATACAAGGCAGGATCAAGGAGGGGAGGACGCAGAAAAAGGGTGTATCTAGTTTAGTTTAGTTCTTATAACTATTACTTCACATCAGCCAAGAAGAAGATTCGACAAGAAAGAAGAAGTTGCTTCATGTCGTCAGTGACTCGACGGCGTTCGGTCGGCGGAAGTTCGGGGGAAGGGGAGGCTTACCGCCCGGCAGAAATGGATCTATAACTCCCCAAGGGATCTCTCCTCTTCAGCAGGTTTCAAGTCCCCCCCCCCCCCCCCCCGTCACCCTCTGGGATTATATCCATATGTGACAGTTCACAGTTTGAGTATCCACGAGGATAAGCTGAGATCCCCTGGAGATGCTGAGAAGGCCGCTCGACGCTCCGGACCTGGTCCAGCACCACGCAGATCAGGATCACTTGCGTCCTGAGAGCACATCCCCAGACCATGGGGCCCTGCTGCGGCTGCTAGGCCATGCGGCTCCGATGAATTACGTTCAGCCAGACTCTCACTCGTTCTCGGACGTTGAGAAGTCAAGTATCTACACCGAATGGATCAGTAAGTTGATTTCCAGAGACTTTTCCAGACCACAAGGTTTGCCTTGCCAACCCAGCCGCTGACTACTTGCAAAGGAGCAGGCAAGCCGCACAATCTGGTGTGCTCGGAGTGTCGGCATCCAGATGATCTCCTGCTCTGTGAGACATGCTGCCGCTCTTATCATGCGAGATGTCTACCGGGAGCGACGGCAGCCACGGCGTCCCTGGTTAGCTTCCACTGCCCATCGTGCAAGGAGAAGCAATGGGACCAGACCCCGCCCCCGGTCAACCCGCTGGTGGTCTCTCCCAGTGCCTCTCGCAGCAGCACTCCCAGCGGCAGCGCAATGAGCATGTCGCCTCGCACCGCGATCGCGAACCGCAGGGCGCCCGTGGCACTCGGCTCTGGTCGGTCAGCCCTGCAGAGTCCGTCCCTGCCATCCTCGCCAGACGCTGGTGGCCAGCCACATCCCGGCGTCCCGAATGGATCTGCCTCGCCGTCGTCGGACATGGTATTCCGCGCGCGGCAGTTTCTGATCCAGCAGGGCCATTTCCCCGCGTCGCAGGACTTTCGGCCGGATCTGTTATTGAAGCTGGGCTCGATGATGGTCGAGCTGGACGCCCAGCAGCGTCTGCTGCAGGAGCTACGAGAGCTGCGCGAGGAAAATGCCGCCTTGCGGAGTGACCTGCTGAACACGAAGAAGCTCTTCGGTACTCGTATGCCGGTCTTTGAGCCGATTCTCAATCCTCCTGTTGCGAGTGTCTCGCCCGCGATTCAGCCCCCCGCCGATACGACTGGCAAATCATGGGACAGGATCGTGATGGATTTACTCTGAAGGACTGAGATGGATAAACCTCGCAACTTGTGGAATACACGACCAGCCAACACTCGGACCGGACATATCGTTCGTTCAATTACTTCTCATCGCTCATACTAGGCGGCAAATCCTCCACCCGCGTCCCCCACGCACTCTCTTCCGTCCCCAACTCCAGCTCCAGCACGCCTCCCTCGGCGAAGAAATCATGCGAGATCCAATTCCGCGTCCACGGCTTGCCATTCCGTTTCGCACTCTGGATGTACACCGCCTGATAACTCGGATCGAAATTGACGTTCCGCACCGTGGCCACCTTCCCCGTTTGCGGGTTGCGGATGCTGACCTCCTTGAAGAACGGTGGACTGATCAGGTACACGTCCTGGCCGTGCACGGGCCAGAACCCCATCATGCTCCATGCGGCGAACGAGCCCATGGCGCCGCCGTCGTCGTTGCCGGGAATGCCGGGGACCGTCGCGTTGAACTGCGAGGGGATGTAGAAGTGCGTGCGCTCGGCAGAGAGCGCGGGGCGGCCCGCATAGTGGAATTGGAAGACGGGGAGGAAGGCCTGTTCATCGCCGATGTAGAGGATTCCCGAATCATGAAGATAGGACAGGCGGGAGGTGAAGGTTTCCGGGCCTCCCAGCTGGGCGATCAGGGCGGCCATGTCTTGTGGTACGTAGCTGTCAAAAACAACAAAAAGTCAATGGGAATGGTATCGATCACCAGACAACGACAAAAAAAAAAGGAAAAAACCAAGCAAACGTACAACGTGTAGAGCCAGCAGCTGCCCTCGTAGGTCTCATGCCCGTCCGGGTTGAGATAGCACGAGGTGAAGTTGTACAGCGGACTACAGAAAATAGGATCCTGGTATCCCCACGTCCCATTGGGATAGCGCGGCTGCAGAAAGCCGGTGAAGCCGGTGTCCTTGCCGTTGATCGACGAGGTCTGGTCTTCCTTGAACATGTGGCGCCAGTTGGAGGCGCGCTGCGTGTACTTCTCGTAGTCGGCCGTGTGTCCCAGCCGCTGCGCCAGTTCCGCAATGCAGAAGTCATCGTACGCATACTCGACCGTGCGCGAGATGCTGCGCGTGTGTGTCCCCGTCCCATCCGAGTCATCGTCGTCCGTCGGGATATACCCGAGATGCTTCCAGCTCTGGAGGCCGCCGCGGCCCTCGACGTCCCAGTTGGCCGGTTCCACCTCGGCGTCCTTGACCACGGCCTCGTAGGCCGTGGCCCAGTCCACGTCGCTGACGTTCTTGAGGAACGCTTCGGCGATGAGCACGTCGGCGTTGGACCCGCCCTGCGTGTATCCCTTGCACAGCGACATGCGGCAGTCCGGGAGGTATCCCTCGTGGCGGTAGATGTCCACCAGGCTGCGGATCATGCGCGACTGCGACAGCGGGTCCAGCACCGTCAGCAGCTGGTGCACCCCGCGGTACGAGTCCCAGATACAGTAGTAGCTGTCGTAGTACGGCTCGTCGCTCTCCCACCGCGGGTTCTCGCCCGTGTAGTCCTGCGGGCTGATCATGGCGCGATACACGCCGCTCCAAAACACCTTCTGCAGGTCCGGCGACACCCCCTCGGCATCGAGCTCGACCACCCCAAGCTTCTCCCTCCACGCCGCCTCGGCCGCAGCCACCGTCCCCTCGAAGTCGAAATCCGGCTGCTCTCGCTCCGCATTGGCGCACGCCCGCTCCACGCTGATGAAGCTCACGCCCACCCGCGCCAGAATGCCGCTCGCGTCCGCCGGCGCCTGGAACCGCACAAACGTGCCCGCCGACAGCGTCCCGTCCTGCGCCAGCCGCACGGACGTCTGGTTCGCGCCCGTGCCCGCGCGGTCCCGCATCCACACGCCCGCATCGCGCACCTGCGCGCCCCGGAAGTCCGCACAGAAGTGCAGCTCGTACCGCCCGAGCCCGAAACTCGGGCTGAACGTCCCGTTGCCCGTCAGCCGGCCCGTCGCCGGGTCCACCGCCGCCGTGCCCGCGGTGCGCGAGCGCGGCAGGTCTACGAGATCGACCCCGATGACGGGGGAGCGGGCGGCCCCCGCGGCGAAGCGGAACCGGTACAGCGCCGAGCGGTTCGTCACCGTCATCTCGGCGTGCACGCCGTTCGCCAGTGAGAGGCCGAAGTAGCCCGGCCGCGCGCGCGGCGAGCCCGGCACCCACGCCACGGCGCGGTCGGCCTGCTGCCAGACGCAGCGGTTGAGGTCGTCGTCGGGACAGCTGGGCTGCGCGAAGAGCGGGAAGTTGCCGAGCGACGGCGACCCGCCGGTGCCGCTGTCGTGCATGTGGCTGAAGCCCGTGACGACGGTGGTGTCCGAGGCGAACCCGGCTTGGTTCTCGCCGTCTGTGTCGGCAACCGCCTTGGCCATGCCGAAGGGGAGCGTGGCCCCGGCGAAGGAGTGGCCGCCATTCGCGGTGCCGATGAGCGGGTCGACGAAGTCCAGCACGTCGAACGTGGGTTGGCCGTGGGCCAGAGGTGCGAGGAGGGGGGTTAGCTGCAGCAGCGCTAGCGCTGTCCACGTTCTTATCATCATGGATTGGATTGGGGGGAACGGAGGTTGAATTATTCTGATTTGCTAGTGATTGCAGAATTACAGGTTGGATAAAGAGGTATCAATCATCAAGACCAGACAGAACGGCTGTTGGGTGTAGCACATTCCAAGACTCAACGTGGCTGGGCAGGAGCATTTAAAATGCCCCCTCCCCCCCATCAATGCTGAATCCATGTTGTATAACAGCGTCACAGTTGCTATAATCAAGCAAGAGATCATCGTCGCGCTAATTCCCCCGCACATCAAGCATGGAATGCAGCGTTGCGAGAGTGAGAGGGGAAGCGCTGGGCAACTGCAGCCATCCTTGTTGCGTAGGACAACGCATGAAGAGCAATAAGTTTGGAAAGAAATAATCAGGACTTTAATGAACATGGACATGGGCATGAACATGGATATAGACACAAACACATTGAAACAAATCGATTCTGGGTATCATCAATTGACCGGCGATCACGCCGGCATGATCAGCACTTCTGAAACTAGCCACTCCCCTTCCTCTACCACTCCAGCCGATCATCATGCACCAGCTGCACATCAAACCGCTCTTCCCCCTTCCACACCTTCGCGGGATCATTACACGATGCAACAACACGACGGAGATCCGACACCAAGCCCGTCGGACCGCTGGCGATCACCCGCGTCGGACCCTGCGCCGTCCGCGAGACGAAATCAGTAACCTGCGACGGCACATCCGGGTGCCGGGTCGCGTGCGACGCGGTGTACAGCACCGTGAGCTGCGCGGGTGGTTTTTCCCCCGACGAGATCTCGATCGCGAGATGCTCCTTGACAAGCGCCGTCTGCTCGCCCGAGCCGTCTTCGCGAGTCACAAACACCCGGATGAGAAAAGAGCCGGGCTGGGCCTCGGCCGCAGCGCACAGCTCGTCCATCTCGGAGCGGATCCAGTCGATGTCGGCCCGGCGTCGGACGATCCAGATGAACTCGAGCAGGCCCCGTCGCGGGGACGCGGCGTGGTCCCCGCGCACGAGGCTCAGCAGGAGAGGGAGCACGAAGGTCACGCCCGTGCCGCCGGCCACGCAGAGAATGTTGATGTCGTCTGTGCGGTCGGCGGCGATGGACTGGCCGTATGGACCGGAGAGGACGATCGGCGTGGAGGTCTGCCGCTGCGTCAGCGCCGCGAGATGCTTCGTGAGTCCGCCCTTGGCGCGGATGAGGTACGAGTGCCGCTGGCGGTGCCCCGGTGCAGGGAGGCTACTGGGCGTCATCGGGTGGGACTGCCAGATGCTCAGCTCCGGGAAACAGAGATAGAAATGCTGTCCGAGCGCCCAGGGCGCATGCGCGTGGTCGAAATCCAGCCGGACGACGTCGCCGTCCTCGGCGCTGGGGAAGCAGGTCATGTCTGCTCTGGGGATCTGCAGGCTGCGCGCCGAGCTCTGGCCCCCGGCGCTGACATGCAGGATGGCCGTTCGGAGCAGCCGCGCCGCGCGGTCCAGCAGCCAGACCACCAGCGACGCGATCATCCAGCACGAGAGCTGGGCCCAGTGGCCCCAGCACGCGCCCACGTACAGCATGGCCACGACGTAGTGCGATTTGCGGAAGAATTCGTACCCGGTCCAGCGGATGCACGTCTTCGTGCTGGCGAAGACCAGGAACGAGAGCAAGATCAGCGCGACCACGCCCCAGATCATGTACTCCTGTGCGATGAACGTGGTCCACGTCGTCGGCTGCGGCTGGTACAGCCGCCCCTCGATGATGATCCAGCCCAGCGTGTGCAGCACGGACTGCGCGTAGATGACGTACCCCAGCCAGCGGTGCAGGAAGTTGAAGTGGTGGTACGGGATGCCGGTGAGCAGGGACAGGAGGGACTCGCGCGTGGCGAGGAGCACGGCTAGTGGGGTGAGGGCGTAGGCGAGGACGCCGACGCGGTCGGCCCAGGGACCCATGCCGACGCGGGTTTGGCGGAGGTTGGGATGCCCGGACACCGGGCTGTACCAGGTTTTGTAGATGATGCCGACGAAGGAGAAGATGATGAGGTAGACGCAGAGGATGGCGAGGACGAGGAGGTTGAAGCGGGTGGTGCGGCCGAAGACCTGGGGCAGGGACTCTTGGAGCAGATAGCGGTGATACATGGCCTTGAAGAAGCGCTTGAGACGGTAGAGAGCAGTGCTCTGCCGTGGCGTCTCCGTCTCGACGTCCCGCTGGCCACTGCTGGTTCGCTGGAATGGGATGAACCGCCCAACAGCGATCAGGAAGAGGACTCCCAAGATGACCGCCCACAGAATCGCACTGTAGAGTACGGATAGATCGTGCGAGTGGTAGACGGTATCGAGATAGGCGCATTTGCCGGCATCACTGGTACAGGGGAGCTGGCGATTCAAGTAACCCCAATGCCGCTCGACTCCTGGCCCGGAGTCGGGGACGTGGGTATGGGCCCGAGGAAGCATTATGTGTGTGTACTCCTAGGAGGTTTGAAGGACTTGATGGACGATCCATGATCTGAACTGACGCTGTGTCGGACCTTTTATATCGAGGATGGAGGGGTCTGAACCGGCACCCTGAACCTGAACCAAAAAAAAACCATGTCTGGGTCACTTCTACATGGCGGGCTGCCAAGCGACAAATCTGCTCAAGGGCGTTGCCAAGAAGTATTCGTCTCCAAGTCTGGGGAGATTAATTGTGCTTTCGGAAGACGTAGACGACGTAGCAGAGGCAGAAGAGGAGGATATCGAACATTATAGGGACTGTATCCGGACTGTGTCCTGACTGTGCAGCCAGGGGACTGGGAATAGCTTCAGGTTGAACTGCGCTGATTCGGCAGCGAAACCCCATGACGAATCTGGCCGTTTCCAATCAAGATGAAACCTGCTCAAAACCAAATAATAATAGGATCATCCCCACTGTGGGTTTGTCCACAACTACCAATTATAAGCGTACACGGTGAAAAGTTACAGTTCAATTCCCTCACTTTGATCTTCCTCCTGGAACGAGCGTCAGAACTTGGACTGCAGAACTCCGAATAACAACAAGCGTCGACCGTCGTAGCAATCATCGCGCGAGTCCGGTCCATCCAGCCAGTAGTGTTTCTCGAATAGACGCAAACGCTCGCCATGGCATGCCTCGTTCTCTGTATCCCAGCACCAGGGCTGTCGCCAGCACCGCCGTCGAGCTCGTGACCAAGACAAAGTTGCGGAATGCCCGCATGTAGCGCGGCTTCAGCACCTTGTCGACATTGTTGGCAAACGCGGTTGGGTCGTTGGTCCTGGGGAATGGCTCGGACGGTACATCCTTCTGTAGAAACTGCAGACAACCGGGCGTCATTAGCACGAATCCGCCCCCGGGCCTCAGTATATCCCCAATTCCCAATAGGGAAAACTCACTTCACACAGCGGCCCCCATCCATCCTCCACGCTCCATTCCAACAGCCGCTCCTGGGGCACCAATCCCCTCACCATCGCACAGTGCTCGCGATACACCCATTTCCCATTCTTCGTCACGCCGGCGCGCACCGAGCTCGGCCACGGGCTGCGGAACAGACCCGGATACCCATGCGTGACATATAACTCCCACAGCCAGAAGAGATCCGAGCTGAAGAAGCGAAACACCCACAGGAACCAACTATCCTCGACCTCCACCAGCAGCGTCTTGACACAGCTGCGCTGCCACGCCTCCAGGTCGCGTCGCGTGTTCAGAATCACCTTCGCCTCCGGATACGCCGCCACCAGCTCCGCCGTGAAGAACGACGCCGCCGTATCCACGACCACGTCGCAGTGGCCCAGCAGCGCGTCAAAGTCCGCGCGCGTCACGTTCGACTCCCCGTCCGCCGCGCCGTTGTATTTCCGCCGCACGAGCTTCGCCCACCCCTCGATGTAGCCGCCGTGCTCCTCGAACACGATATCCCACCCGTGGTAGGGCGTGTGGCCGAGTTTGCGCAGCGCCACGCTGAGACTTTCGGTTGCGGACCGCGGTAGGCCGACGCAGAGCACCTGCATGGGTTTGGTGCGCGTGCGGACGGGCGGTTTCGCGAGACCGTAGACCGAGTCTTTGAGCAGTTCCCCGGTCGATTGCATCTTGGACGGGTGTAACTTTGTGCGGGTGGGTTGTTCTCGGGGATGGTTGGGGATGGAATTGTGGACGCGGGGATTGATGTGTGTGTGTGTGTGTGTGCTACGGTCGTGTGATATTTATGGCATTCATTCCTATCCTAGCTCTCTCATCTCGGCAACGCCGTTGAATCTGCGGTCAGCAATATGGGGGAGTTGGACAGTTGGGGTGGAATATGCAAGCAGTGTCAGCGAATACGAGGTGTGTTAGTGTGTGCGCATTCAGGGCTAACTCTGGAGAGGCTGCATCTGATCGGACCGGTCGTTGGACGCTCATTCAGCCACATTGTTGGATGAGATGCAGCAGTGGACAGATCGGGCCATTCGAGCTGTCTCTAATTATCCTAGCTACTTTCCTATGCATGTATTCTACGGAATACGGCCGACCCCGAGACATGAGTCAATGCACACGAGGCGTGGATTCACTTTCGCCGTCTGCATCCTTGATATAAGCTTAGACGCATTTAGATTACTCTCTTTGAACCTAGTCGATCATACCATAACCTCCTCGCCCTGTCGATGCGACTGAAACCCTACTTGATGATCAGAATCATTGTGGGGTTGAAGCTGCTGCGTCAAAGGTGACAGCTTCATGACCCTCATGACCCTCATGACAGCAACTGACAATGTTGAGCTGAGAACGACTTGTCTGTCTGACGCTTGGCATCAGAATCACTTCAACAAGCGACATGTTCTTCCTCTCTATTGACTCGGTGAGCATGAGAGCACGAGAGCATGTCAGAGAAACGATGAAAAAACACCCTCCCACCTCGTGTTTCTAGAGACATGGGTTCATGGTGGGCTATGGCTGCAACCTGGCAGAACCAGATGAATGGTGGCACCTGTTGCCATCTACTTCCTACTGCATGACCTCGTTAGCTTCTGTCCTTTGCCATTATTGAGTCCCGTTCTTACAGACTCAGCCAACTATCACACTCTGCTGGCTGGGGCTCAGACACGGATACGCAGGCAGTCATCCTGTCAATGCGTTCCCTCTCAGCGACGAGGACAATGCCGATGAAGATGTGAGATCACCATCCCCTTCTAGGAATATAGACCATTGTCATCTAATTGAATCCCAATGAAGGAACCCATTGATTTGAGCTCTCATCACTGCGAATCGCACGGTGAACTACCCATGACGTCAACCGCAACGATGGATTCAACCTCGTCGAGAAGCATCGTTCATTTATCTACGCTATACAAATACAATCAATCAATACTTGCATTGATATACACCATCATACTCTCAAATCAAAAATGGTCAAAGACAAATCCACCGTCATCAAGTACGTCCTCCGTCCTCCCTACCACCCCATCCCATCCCATCCATCTAACCACACAAACCACCCCCTCCCAGCGAATTCACCGACCTGGTCAACATGACCCCCAATGAACTCCGCGACTGGCTCAAGGAAGAACAATCCCAATCCGCAGGCTGGAAGCGCGATTCCGACGAAACAGTCGGCCACGAAAGGTAGACCCCTCCTTTTCCTCCTTTTCCTCTCTCTCTCCATGTCAGGTCTGGCCCCTGACCTCCACAGCGGTCGCCGCATCGTCGAAATCCTCGAACAGAACCCCTCCAAGGACCCCGGGGGATACTCGGACGATGATATCGCGCACATGCGCAAGGTCGTCTCGTACTGTAAGCGGCATCTGGCGCGCGAGGGGCATGTTAAGCGGGATACGGGGAGTAAGAGTTACAAGTCGTTGAAGAATTGGGGACATGATCCGTTGAAGGAGGAGGAGGAAGAGGAAGAGTAGGGGCTATTCCTCGGGTGAATGGGTTAATTAGAGCGCTGGTTTAGATCAAGACGTCTCGAGGTGGAGGGGGACTCCAGTATTCCATACATAGTTTCTTGCTTGTGTGAAATCCCACGGCGTGGTTCCGGAACGCTGCATTGTCTACTGGGCATACACTGGTAAACGGAATAACTATATCTGAATCATCGGATATCTGGGTAGACTCGTTCAGATATAGACTTCACCGAGTTGATGAAGTGTCCCGCTACATCGCCACCCTTGTGCATGTTATCGTCCAAACCTACAGCCTACCAGCCTACTGCTACAGAGGAAGACCTGGGACAGTGGAGATGCCAACAAGGGGTAGAAATCTGGGAGAGTGTAAAGCCAGCCTGGGAATAACCCTAAGCAGTAAGCACAAGAGAACTCGTCTTTCATTCTCAGGGTTAAAAAGGATCGTCTTCATTCTCAGGGTGAAAAGGATCAACTAGCCCTAGAAGGTGCAGTGTCGATCAGGGTGCCAGAGTATCTATCTTGCGTTTGAACAGAGTCCCCTTGCTATCCGTCGACCAGGCGAAAGGAGCGGCCCAAAATGGACATGAACCAGGACGAAGAGGCAAGTCTGCTTTCTTCCGGCCATGAACTAGCTCTGATCAACCTGCAGTCACTAATATGAGAGTGGGCCAAAGCGCCTGCGAGTTGAGCTGACGGCTAACGTCCTCCAGATCATTGTCTTCATCGCATACACCGCAGCCGGCATCCAGGTCGCTGCTATCCCCGCCATCACCAGCACATACGCTGTCGACAGCTATAAGCCTGTGGCGGGATCTCTCCTCGTGGCAATCACTGTCAACAAGAACTTGTGGGGTTATGGGTTCAGCGAGTTCATCACCGCGTGGGTGGAAAAGAGTGGTTTCGTCGCCCCCATCATGTTGAACATGGCCCTGATCACCCTCTGGTGTCTGTTCGCTATTCCGTTCTATTTCTACGGCAAGCGTTCCAGGGTGTGGACCGCCAAGTCCTCGGTCCATAAGGAGTAGACAGGTAGTTCGGGATTGTGTGATGAAGCGTCTGGCGGCATTCTGTTTCTTTTCGTTCATACGACACTGTATCTGATGTAATGATTATATTCTTGGATAGGACGGCCCCCATCGCTGGGAGCGGCATGAATTGCAAACTTGGACAAACGGTGACTCAACCCGTATGTCAAGCGTCTGATCACATTTCATCATCCTCAGGATCGTAAAGGTCGAGGTCTAGGGTGGTTTTGGGCTTGGGCGCAGGTGCAGGTGCAGGTGCAGGTACAGGTGCCGCGGTCGCTCCGCTGCTTGCCGCACCCGCATGAGCTGCAGCTTTGGCTGCTTCATTCGCATGGCGAGTCTCCTCGCCGACAGGCGCTTGTGCCGGCGCAGTTGGCTCCGCAGCCCCCAGGCCCTCCGCCTCGCGTATCAGCCGTTCCACTTCTTTGTCGGAGTCGAAGCCCGGTCGACCTTCGGCGGCAGCCAGCTGAATCTGGCCCATCACGCCCATCCGAATTCGATCCTCCATCGGGTAGGGGACCATGTAGGCCTGGCGAGTCATCTTCGCCGATTCATCCAGCCAGGATGTCGCTTCTTTGGTGACAGACGAGACCGGCTCTGCGCCTTCCTCCGTAACAGGACCGCCATTAACGCCCGTCATTGCGACATCTTGATCACCCGCTGGTAGTCGTTTGCCTCGCGCTTGCGCCTCTTGGACCGCATAAGCTGCTGCATCCGCCGCCGCTTGGTGGTTGTATTTGCTGATCCGTCGCGCAAAATCCAAGAGCAATTTGTAGTCGATCTCCTTTGTTCTGCGCAACCCGCCTGGCCTGGTTTCCATCCGGTCGGCATCGTCGATCGCGTATGCACCGTCATCGTCCACATCCGAGTCACTCATGTCATCGTCACCGCAGACTGCTCGTATTTCCTTCTCGTACTCCACGACTTCTCTCACAACGCCCTTGACCTTTTCCTCCAAACTCTCTGCCTCTGCGCGAAGTCGCAAAATCCGGTCATAGTTCTCCTGATGCTGGCGAAGTGTGTCAATGGCCGATGTGAGCGAGTCGTTCGCATCTAGCAGTGCCAGAGCTGCTGCAGGAGCTCCAGAAGCGGTAGGCGACGTAGTAAGACTTGTAATAAGAGCATTGAGTCTGTCTTCAATGGTGGATAGGGAATGTCGAAATTGGACGTTCATTGTGTTTACTGTACCGATGCTCAGTCGAAGGTCAAGGGAGGAGGAAGAGCTGGTGTATGTTGAAATGGAAGTCTAGCGGGAGGGGCTAAAACACGGATTATCGATGCGTGGTCATCGATCGAAGAAGACTTTCAGTTGCGCCTGTCTGAATGAACGATTGGAGTGAAATGGTGCTTGGATGTATGTGAAGCTCCAAGGTGACCGCGCTGGCCCAGATCAAGATAAATCACGTGTTGGAAGCTGTTCCTATCACGTGATGTATATCTAACAACCCCAGTGTGACATCATCCATCTGTCCTGCTACAAAGTCAAATAATCATTGTTGATGCTTCAGGAAAATATCATGCTGGACATATGTTTGAAATTGATTTCTGACACTGGCTGGATGTTGTTCTTTGTCTAAGAGAGACTTCTGATGCCTTAGGTATGTAAGGATTGCGAAGGTCTATTATGTATTATATTAAAGCTACCTTTGCAGAGGAACCTGATGATAAGAAGGCTCCTTATAAGAGATTATATAAATAGTTATATAACCTATAAAGATATAAATCCTGCCTATAACTACTAAACTTTAGAGTTTAGTAATAATCTCTTTAAATAAGAATATCTATATTTAAATCTATTTATAATTATTCTTCTTTTATACTAGTTTCTAATTCTTATAGATTATAGATCCTTATATTTTATTACTTAACCTTTAAAACTAGTCTATTAGGAAAATAGTATTATAAAAGAGATTAATTAGACTAAAACTATCTAGTAAATTCTCTTTTATAACTATATAAAGTTAAATAGTAAGAAAAGAGATAGCCTATAAAAAGAAAGACTCTAAGAATAAGCTAGGTTTATAAGACTTCTTTATTTTAGTAGATCTAAAGTTAATAAGGGCAACCCCTATAAAGAAGTATCTATAATAAGAATTATAGTTTTTATAAGAAATTTAGAAGCTTTATAATAACCTAGGTATAGGTCTTAGAAAGTACTTATAAAACTAGGAATAAAAGAAATTATTCTTACTATCTATAAAGAAGACTAATATCTAAATCTAATCTCTACCTAAGTCTAAGAGATACTTAACCTATAATTATATAATATACTAAGCCTTTATTATAAGTTAAGAGTCTACTATAGAAGCTAATAATTAGGATAAGAAGGAATATTATGATATCAGTAAATAAATATCATGAGTAGATCAATGATTATTAAGGTTAACCCTGGGTTACTAAGGTTGACCTAAGAAATCTCTATAATATCTATAACTTATCTTTTAGATAGATAGCTAGTAGCTAGGTATAAATAGAAGATCTTACCTTAGATAAGTAAAGAGATATTAGCCTAGCCTATTTTTTTTATCTTTAGTAATATTATCTTACTCTTAGTAATTTTATCTAATAATATATCTAAAGTTATAGATAGTAAGAAATTAAATACTCTTATTTTATTAGATCTATATTTATCTTAGTAAATACCTACTACTCTTTCCTATAAATAACTACTAAATTTAAG